CTAATTAAAATGCCTGATTATTAAAATTAACTCATTAATTATTTTATTATTGTAAATATTCATTTTTATTATATGTGTGTTATGTTCTTCACAAATAAATAATAAAAACTGTATTTTAAAAAATATTTAATTTAATTGGTAAGGATAATTTAAAAGTATCTTATATTTCTAATTTAGCAGTATCTTTTAAGGACCTGCCCAACTCTGCATACATGGGTTTCTATTTGCTCTATGCTAGATTGTGCAACAAAATAATTTTTAATTTTGAATGAACCATATACTAAACATGTAAAAAACCTATCATGTTTGTCCAAACAGACCTGTTAAGATTTTTTGCCTGATCCATAAAATGAGTATAAATTTCCCAACTTTTTGTTATCACTGTTGGCTGATATGCTCAAAAAAGTACGCCCTTTAAACATATTCTACACAAACAGCAATTTTTTACATTTAACTCTTGGTGAAATATGGGGGTAAGCAATTTTTTCACAGTCGTTTTCAAATATTTTCTATACATTTTAGCAATTTCTTTATTTTAAAATAGTGTTGTAGGTCGTATTTTAAAAATGGCTCGATTAAGATTTTAGCCAAAATAGTATCATGTAAGCCTCAAGATTGGGAAAATAGAGGTTTAAACCTTTTTGCCATCTATGAGCAAAATTACCAGGCTTACATAATATTGTTTTGGATTAAATATTAATCGGGTCGTTTTAAAAATTGGATCATTAAACAACACTATTTCAAAGAATAATATGTAAAATAATTTATTTTGGTGACTGAGTGTTTTACCGAAGTATCAGGTCAATTCAGACAAACTTTTATTGCGAGATACTTTTCCGCGAAACTTTTATTGCGAAGACAATATCACGAACCCATTATCGCATATTTATTTCCGCGGATACTTTAGAGCTGGGTTTAATTAAAATCTCCAAATGAAGATTTTTTCGCCCAAAATTTTGATTTTGGTTCACCCTTATTAAAAAATACCAAAAAGATAAATAAGTTAAAATGACTTTCAATATGGCCCCTGATAGGTTTGAAGCTTATATTAAATTAAAACATAGAACTTAAAAAATTAATTCGACAAATTAGTATCCTACTTTATTTATAAATATTAAAATAAAAATTCACATGCCTAGGAAACCAGTTTGGAAAAAATGTGGTCTGAGATTTTCTAGATGTAGAAATATCGTTTGACCCTAAATTTATTAAATCCACCGCGCCAAGTCCTTCCTTTATAACTTTATTTATTATGTTGAACGTAGTGGCGATGAGATGCAACCTTATTTTATTCATTTTTTTTATAAAAAAAGTGGGATACTTTATTATTTATTATTTTAAAACATGCAATTAAGTTGTATTTTTTAAAATATAAATTATATTAAGTTCGACGCCGCATTCAGACAAAGTTTCCCATAGAAGTCCATTAAAATTATTTTTTGAGCTAATATTGGTTCTTGTATGTTTTTGCCGGGTCTATACGAACACATATATTTGGGGAAAAAGTGAGACGTGGTTGAGAGAATTTTGTTTTTTAAAAGGTCTATAAAAATTAAGACACAGGATGTAAGGAGAAGGAATAAGTTAATCTACAATACGTGAATCAATTGGTTTTAGGGAATCTACATAAGAAGGATGTGTTCAAAGGGAGTTTTCCCGTTTTACCAATTTATTTTCCGTAGTTTTTTGACGACCTTGAATATTTCATCAATAGAGAAACTAGACGGGGGTGGGGCGGGATTTATGTTCATACTTCTGAGTAGAGTTGCCTTTCTTAAGTCGAAGGCTATCTTGTAATAATCTAGTCATACTGCGATTTGTTCATCTTGGTCTATTATTATTTTGCCGTTACCTAATACTATGAAAGGGAGCTTCGAGTTGTTAGGTTTACAAAAATATTTTAATTTTTTAAGGCCTCATAGATTCTGTTTTCTTTCATGTCCTTATTTCTATCAAAGTCTTTATTTGCGATGTAGACCCGTCCATCGCTTCGTAGTAATCTTTGTATGCTTTTCCATAAATCACTATTGAGCCATCGTTCTCTCTGATTTATCTTTTGTAAATCTCACTAAGCATCCATTCCTTCTTGGGAAATCTATTTATATTAGACAGAATCCCTTTAAAATGTTTCCAATTCCTCAACGGTTCCATACTCAGCTATGTTTAGATAGTTTCCACTTATCTGTTTAATGTTTCAAATTGGCTTTTGTCCCCAGGCGTTTGCAAATTCCTGAACTTACGTGTACATTTAAAAAATCGATTGAGTTGTGCCTAGTCTAGTATTACTCTGGCTATTGATGTTGAAAAACTCCCATATAAAGATGTAAAGGTAGGGAAATTTCCCGAATTTTCCCTTAATATAAATATAATATTTTATTTCAATAATTATGATTTATTTTTATGAAATATAATATTTTATTTCAAAAATTATGATTTATAAATTTAATTTAGTATATCATAAATTTTATAATAATTTTTATTTTCCTCGTGAGTCTTTAATTGAATGCTTTGGATATGCTCCACATGGCTTGAATCTGCTTATTAAAGATTTATCCAATTACGTTTTATTGAAAAGATCATCAAAAAAACCAAACAAATAGTTAAATATATAAAATTTAATGGTAGTTTTTTGGCAACTTTTAAAGAAAGGCAAATATTGAAAGGATATATATCTTCCTTAAAAATTCTAAGTCCGACAAGAAGGAGAATTTTTGTTATAATGTTGCAAAGTGTTGTGAAAAACAAGAAATTACAATTTCAAGTTTATTTATAGACAAACAAAGAAGGCGTATTATATTGGACAAAGAAGGATACTGGGATAAATTAGTCTATACTGACTTTTTTGGAATTTATTTATAACAAAATTATAATTGTAGAATCGGATACAGCGGTATTATCTGACGTATCAGAAATATTTTGGGATATAAAAGATAAACTCAATTCCTCAACTTTTATTTTTAATTAAAATGATTTGAAAAGTGTTAAAATGTATATTAATAAACGAAAGAAATTTTGTTGCCGAGTATATCATTATGCAACAAATCTTATGGACCATGGTGTGAAATTAACATATCGCGAATTAACAGTAGTTTTAAATTTAAAAAATATTATTTCAAATTGCGATATTGGAAAAATTATGAGTAATTTAGCAGATTATCGTTCAAAACAGGGTTTCTATAAAGGAGCTGGCATATGATAAAGCTCAATCCATACTACACTACTCATATGGTGGAGAGGGTTTTGTAGAAATCAACCCCTTTGTCAAGTGGCAGTAAGATGACTTCCGATACCACCCTCAAACGTCAGAAAGAATCTGGTCAGCATTTGGAAATATTCATTCAAAAACGAGAAATAGAATAAAAAATGAAAGATTCGAAAAATTAATATCGGCATAACATACATTTAAAGGAACACACAAATATATCATGTTCGGGATATCATAAAAAGATTTCAGATTTCAATTTCTCAATAATAATGATGATATTTCAATTCAATTACATCCCATGAAGATGTTGTTACTAATCATTAGCATCCCATGAATTTTATATCTAATTTATAATACATGCTTCTTGTAATTAATAAAGTTATTCAAAATAAAAATGAAATGTTTATAGTGTATTTTTTGTCTTTATTGTTTAATTATTTGATTTTCCCTTAGTTTCCCAAATTTAATAAAGTTATTCAATAAATTGAAAGGTTTAAAGTGTAATTATTGGTTATTTTTAATTTTTCCTTTTTCCCCCAATTTTAATGTGGAAATTTCCCCTGAACCAATTTTCCCTGGAAATTTACATCGCTACCCTAATACATTTCAGCTATCTTAGCTATAAGCATCTTATGATACGAAAGGTTTATATTTGCTGATGTCTTAACGTCATTAAACCACCCTGGATATTGGAGATTAAAAAATCTATTTAGGATTTCTGGCGAGCTCTCACAAAGGTGTATGTGATTTCACGATGGCTAAAAGTTTTTTCGATTATAAAGTTTTTGTTTCTACAGAAATCAATAAATTTCTTGCTGTCCTCACCATTTGGTTCTTGTAGGGTAGCACCCTCTGGCGTTTGCGAATTCCTCAGCCGTCGATTAATTTGTCCTAACGCTAAGCTAGTAGTATTTTGACTATTGATGTTGAAAAGCCCCCATAGTGAATTTGATCAAGTATTAAATAAGAAAATAGTAAACTTCATGACTGAGCACGGAATCGTTGAGGAATGTTGGAAATTTTTTAAAGGAGGTTTATCAAAATCATACAATAGTTTGCCCAATACATAGTTTTTATAGGAAAGACTGGAGGTCTAGTGATATATTACAAAAGATTAATGAACTCAGAAAAATGACGGACGGCTTTAATAGAGATTTTGGAAAAATATACACGGATTATTACGATGTGATAGATGGATCTACATTACAAAGAAAACGATTGATATTGTTTGAGAATATAAAAGAGAATATAATTTTTATGGTACCTATAAGAAAATTAAAAAATTTCTGTAAACCTTACCTTTTTAAAAAGCTCCCATCTATAATATTAGAAAATGGCAAAGTAATCATAGATCAGGATAAATAAATTGCAGAATGGTTAGAAGATCATTACATTCGACTTAAGGAAGACAACTCTACACACGGATGAACACAAACCTTGTCCCACCCCATCTGGTTTCTCTAACGATGAAATATCTAAGGTTATCAAAAAACTACGGAAAAACAAGACCCCTGGTATTGACAACATTACAGAAGATTTTCTATAAATATCACCAGTCACAGTATCCTCTTTCTACTAGCCCTCTAACCAACCTAATAAATATATTGTAGAAGAAACATTAGTTATATAGATTTTTGGTTAGATAAATTAAATTTAGAAACGGGACAAATCCAAGAATAATATTTTTTTTACATCAGAAGCAGAATCAGCCATTTTTTAACAAAAGATTTGCTAGATTATTCAATTACTTATTAAACGATTCCAAGTTCTAACTTTTTTATATAAAATACAACAGCTTAAACTCTACTACCACCGCCATCCTGGCATCACAAGTTTTGATGAACTGGTGTCAGAAATTCAACAGTCTGTTAGACTCTGCTTACAAATCTGACTATCTAAATTCTGATATGATCACGATACACGAGATCGAGCCTATTTTACATAACTCAACGAAATTCATAATTGAAAGAAACAATTCCGCTACGGATGCGATACGTTGCAACTTTATGACAGCTTTCGAAAACATTTTATACATCAATTCAACATTATCTCCATTTTTTGAAAGTATTATTATTTGATATACAATATATGCCCATCTGATATTGTATATATGTTTGACCAGGTCTCTTTTAAGGTTTTATTCTTATATAGTCTTTGATATTCTAAAAATATATCCAAGACGATGGGTTAAAAATAAGATTAGTTAGTATATAAGATATATCATATTTTTAACTTTTTAATTTAGTCAAAGATTGAGTTTAACACTTATTTACTTTATTAAATAAAATACGCACGCCAATATTATTTTAAAAAATTTATTATAATTTATTATACCTAAGGATTTATTTATTCCATTGAGCGACAAAATTTGCAATAAGAAATTTTAAACTAATGAATGATATCGAAATCAGTCAAAACTTTGACTTCATTCAAGCGGAAATTTATATTTTTTTTAGGAAAAAATACCAATAATATATAGTTATTATATATGTCATATTGGATGGACCATGGGAATTCAGATTCTCTAAGTTTTATATTATTTACCGGGCAAATGTCAAAAATCTGATTTAACTGGAAATGCATTCCAGCATGTGTAGAATAAAACCTACTAAGTGGCAGACAAATTTCATCATAAATTTTTGCGTAATTTAAATTATATAAAAAATCTATATAAAAATTGATATAAATTAAGAATACTTCAAATCTTTTAGGCAAAATTATATGAAATTCACAGTATGTATGCTCTATATCGATTAAATCAGCGTTTTCTAATACAATATTACCCATCAGTAAATGATTTAAAATTGGGAGATTTCGATTCCAAATACGACATTCATATCATAATAATTAATTTGTCTTCATCTAAATAAGGAAATATAATTACAAATTTAAATAAAAAAATGTGAATAAGATAAAAGAAAAATCTTGAAAATTTATAAATTATTATTATTCTGATCGGCTTAATTTTTCTTCCAGTGGCTTCAAATGTCAGCAATATTTCGCCACTTGGTCTTATGGTTAGCCTGCCACTGAACACGGGGTAGGGGGCGAATCAATTGCATTATTAGGTTATTAAAATCTCAGAGGGGTGTTATCTCAGTCATCATACATAGTCAGTATCTTTATTTTAGAATGGGGTCCACCATCACTAGCTTAGGGGGTCCAGATGCTTCACACAGTTTTATAGGATATTTCATACATTGACGAAAATACATGTATTATTTTATTGCTGACTTCTCCGTTAACAAATGATAAACTAAAATAGCGAATTCCCGATCCCATCTTATTAAAATAACTATCCTTCTATCAGAATTAACAACAAATTCCATTTATTTTATTATTTTTTTTCCTTAGAGAAACTGGTGGGTTTATAATAATATATTTTTAATCAAAAGGATTTAAATCAAAATCATTCGTAGTGAATTACGTTTTACCAATGATCTCGGATGCCGCAATATCCGACCGATCCAATAAATTGAGGGTTCTCTATTTCAGGACTCTGTTAAAAGTTTACCATGCTGATGACGATGTCTTATCGAGCCTGGGCGATTGTTTAATCAAATCTTGCGAAAGCTCCCCAACGGAATTACTTGATATATTTGACTCTTTACCTTGTTCTTTTCTTCAAAAACACTTGTCGCCGTTAATCAATCGATCTATCGACGCCTTTTTGATCCCCGGGAAAAATCAGGCGAGGTCTTACCTAAATGCAGAAGATATTTATGATGGAGAAATTCGCCGACGTTAATTGCTTATTTTTATAAATATTTTAATTTTCATTAAAGTAAATTTTTTTATAATTTATTAGTGAAGGTCAACAGTAAGTTTTTTCAGTTTGAATAGAACTATAACGGTGGACGATTATTTTCTAAGCAAGCGACTTAGTGACAAAGGATAAAAATAGATTATCAAGCAAATGATAAAATCTATCATGTTTACTGGGGCATGGCTTAAAATAGGAATGCCTAATGAATTATTTTTAAATTCAAATCTTCATAAAACGTATTTTATACAAATATGAGATTATTGTTACCAGAGTTTTCACCAACTTTTTTATTTGTGGGTGCTTATAGCTTAGTTTTTAAATTATTGGGCGTTCATAAATTTTTAAAAAATAGGCTAAATTTTGTTTTGTTATGCTTTATGGCAAGCTCCACACTCACCCTTTAAATTTACCTACATTTTAAAAAAGGCATAGCGGGATGCACAAAAATAATGTTTATTTTAGGAGTGCTAAAAACCTCCTTTTTCTTTCTGACGTCATGATTGTTACTGTTGTATTAGTGTTGTCATAATTTATTTTTGATATCTGCAACAAAAATTGTTTAATATAGGCATCAAACTAAAATGAAAATCGTTTCCAAAAACGGTTCGGTTTGGTCTTTAAATTATGGTTTACTGCGGATTAGTCTTTGAAAATTGGTTCTAGACCAAACCGGACTCAACCATGTCCTTAACTATAATTCCAGATTTTAGTGAAATTTGATCAAAATATTGACTAGGGCCTTGCCGATATTAAATGTCGGATCGGCACCGATAGCGTTTTCTAAAAATATCGGATCGGGCCGATACCTATAAAAACCCGATCCGATCTTTTTACTTTTCTTTTTTTTGTTATTTTATGTATATTTATTTTACATTAATAATATTTTCTAAATAATTTTTTTTTAAACAATGCAAATGCAAAACACCACTTAAATTTTATATTTTTTAAAATAGATTTATAGTATTTTAAAAGTTTTTTTTATAAAAATAGAAAGGAACACACAAAATTAGGTATGACTTACTGCATTGCTAAAATGCATTGCTAAAGAGCAATCAATCAAAATTTGATTATATAATCTTTTTTTAAAATAATTTTCAGAGACACTTATTTTAATATATAATAAATCAATTTTTTATTAATTTTATTTTAAATATTATTGGGAAAAAATTTTACTAGCTTATTACAACTCAAATTTTATTTTTCATTTTTAAAATTTAACAAATATATATCCATAAGAGGGCGTTAAATACATAAATATCATAATATCTTCTTATAAAACCAGAATAATGATTGGATAGCACTTTTTTGTATTTGGTGTAAATTGACATTTAATTAATGAGTAGGTTTAGAATCGAAAAATAATAGAAAATTTGTAAGGCATATATTGCTGGCTTTATTTATCAAAATCTCTTCATTTTTGGTTTATACGTGTATATTAACGTGTTAAGCATTATCCTAAAAAATATTTTGAAAATATTATGATTTGACCAAATTCTAAGCACAAAACCGACCACTTATTAAATATTCGATCGACCAAATTTGGTAGTAATATTAATTGAAAAATGTTCATTTTTGTTTTATTTATCTATAAATACATGTAAAACAGTATCCCAAAAAATATTTTAAAATAATATCATGACTTGAAAGATAACCGATTTGAAACCGAAATACTGCATTGCTGGCGTTATCCATGGGAAATTCTTTATTTTTGGTATATATTTGTACATTTCGGTGTTAAGCATTATCCTAAAACAAATTTTGGAAATATTATGATTTGACCGAATGCCGACCTCAAAATTGACCACTACTAAATATTCGATCAAATTTGATAGTAATTTTAATTGAAAAGTTCATTTCCGAAGGCAATAATACAGTCGTATCGGACGAACTCTTGACCAACGAGGAACGCTCCCCTAGCCCCGAGGAACGTGCCTTACTTCTCCCACAATAACATCCACTTTAAACCTTATTGCCTTTGGCACTATTACATTATATACCAATCATAAATTGATAATTAGTACTTTTTGTTAATAGAACACCAAATTAGGGTAATAGGCCGCCAAACCCAAATACTTAATTTTATACAGCGCTGATAAGCTACTCTATATGATCGATAGATCTATTTGCTTAGCATTGTAAAGTCGATAGACTTCCCTTGTCGGGTCTGAAATTTATTAGGAGTACCCTCCTCGGATGAGCAGAAATAAAGCTTATGCATATAAATAGGCAAAAGTTATATGATTACTTTTTATCAAATTTGAATTAATAACCTGCTAATAACTCACCAGGTATTCCCCTAAAAATTTCCGACCATTTTATAATAAGCCATGATTTATATACAATGTAAACTCCGCCATATTTTTGTTTACCAAATTATAACCAATTGTATTATATTGATAATTGTTTATATCAATCGTCTTTACTTTAAAATTGTAGATTTATAGTTTTAATAAAGACAATTAGAACGGCCTGGCACGGCCTCAGCATACCGAATATGGCAGGAAATCAGATATTTTTAAAACAATATGATTTATAATTATATAATAATTTTAAATTTTAACGGCTAATATTTAAAATTATTTATTATTTTTTTTACGTACTTTCACTTTTCATTTCTTTTAGTTTTAGAAAAATGCCTTTTTTAAAAATTTTTAGAATTTTTAATTTTCATGAAATTGAAAAATACCACATCCAGGTAATCTCCGGAGGTGGAGGGAGTAATAATTTTTTGTACTATTGAAATTTTTTTTTTGGAACATTAAAAATTTATTATAATTAAGATTATTTATTAAGTGGTCAGTTTTGAGCTCGGCATTCGGTCAGATCATAATTTCTTCAAAATATTTTTTAGGATAATGCTTAACACGCTAATGTACACTTATAAACCAAAAATAAAGAATTTTCCATGGATAACGCCAGCAGTGCAGTATTTCGGTTTCAAATCGGTTTTCTTTCAAATCATGATATTTTTTTAAAATATTTTTTGGGATAATGTTTTACATGTATTTATAGATAAATAAAACAAAAATGAACATTTTTCAATTAATATTACTACCAAATTAGGTCGATCGAATATTTAATAAGTGGTCCGTTTTGTGCTAAGAATTTGGTCAAATCATAATATTTTCAAAATATTTTTTAGGATAATGCTTAACACGTTTAATAAAAACGTATAAACCTAAAATCAAGAGATTTTGATAAATAAAGCCAGCAATATATGCCTTACAAATTTTCTGTTATTTTTCGATTCTAAACCTTCGAATCGAATACGAATAATACAATTATTCGATTCGTATTTTGTAGGTCTAATAAAAATGGATCAGGAAATAAATATGATAAATAATGAACATATTAATAATCATAACAATTTTTCGAGATCCATGCATAATGTATAATGGATCAGGAAATAAATATGATAAATAATGATTGTGGCACTCGTTTATAAATATATTTATCTAATATATTGCCATAATCTACTAAAATATAAGTATAACACAACCCCCCCCCCCCCCCCATTCCCCTCTCCTTCAAGAAAGTAAATCTAATTAAAAAATTAGCAAAAAAAGAATTTAAAATCAAAGAAAAAAAATTCCAAATGAAAATCAGCAAAAAAGAAAAATTCAAATCCGCATTTACTTCACTCTTTACCTTCCCCTCCCCCTACTTTACCTAACTCCCAATAAAATATGAAGTACTCCTTTATTATGAATAAAGATATCGCATAAATATGACGGTACAAATTTATTAGTAAATTCTATAGTTTAATGTTTAGGTCCTATAAAATCCAATTTAAAAAATCTGATTTATATAAGATCCGATTTTTTGAATTTTTTTTTAAAAAAAATTGATGATTTAAATGAACCCTGAAGCCAATTCTTATTCCCTATTTCCAATAGATTATGAAATTTTTGCCATCAGTTTTGTTAGCATAATTTTTTGAGAATGGGCTAATTTATTTAATTTAGTTTTTTCATTCCCCCCCCCCCCCCCATCCAAAATATTAATGAAATAAATAATTTTATTTTTCAGTGTCTCACGATTATTCGCCCAAATTGGATTCCATCAACGTTTTGATTAGGTCGACCTTAAAGAAATATCCCTATTCAATTTTGAATAGGTATTTTAAGTTAGTAGCTAACGCGGACGATGAAATCACGTCCAAATGTCGTTTAGATCGGTTAAGATTAATGAACATGAGAGAAAAAAACTTTTTATTCGCTTCCTTGAATCTTTTGCACGATGTCACATATACTAAGGACATGCGAAATGACAAAGTTTAATATATTTTACTTGAGGAGAAAGTATAAACCGTTAACCTTATTTTATATTTAATATATTTTACTTGAGGAGAAAGTTTAAACCGTTAACCTTATTTTATATTTAATATATTTTATTTGAGGAGAAAGTAAACCGTTAACCTATAATAAATTTTTTTTTTTTTTAAAAAAAAAACTTAATTTTTATATAGCATTTAAAATCAAATATAACTAAATATCACATCTTACACTTTTTTTTAGTATTATTATTGCTATTACTTTAAAATTCATTATGATGCTCATACGATGAAGTTCTAATTAATTTAAATTATCAAATCATTTTTTAAAGAGAGTATTAGTGGAAGTCTATTTAAATAAACGAAGATATAATAAAACGGAAATTTGGCCTATAGACTTAACAAAGTTTGACTATCTTAGTGTCCTTCCAAAAAATTTTGTTCAGAATGTTCTGATATGTCGCCATGAGCAGGTTTAAAAGTTATATATTTTTTAAAAGAAGAGTCAGGGAAATTGTTAAAATATTTTTACGGCTAGGTTGAAGTTTTAAAAATGTTATTAAAATAATAATTAGGCAAATTTATGTCGTTTTCCTTTATAAAAAATAATTACGGGTCGGATCAAATATTCTTGTAAATCGGAAAATATGTATGAATTAATATTAGGACAAGTGAGTTGAGTAACTTCTTTAAATTATCGTAGGCCATGATTCGAGGATAGAATAATAATATGATAGATTATCGTCAAAAGTTGAATTCAAATTTTTAAAAGGAAAGAAATCATAATTTAATTTTTACCACTCCCCCTTCCCCCCCCCCATCTCTTCCAAATATAACATGAAATTAAGATTGTCATAAACGCCTTGGCTTTCGTATGCCGCGCTCATATCAAAACGACTTGCCCTACCATGTTTCCGAGGGCGAGAGACTTAATTAAAATAGCTATAACTTTCTTGATTCACGAACCAAAAATAACGGATTCTTCGTCTTATCGCAAACTTGTAAACCTATGTTTGAGCCCTTACCTACATAAATGTGCCGAAATAATAGGTAAACGGTCGTCTAAATCCTTGACCACCGATTGGAGGAGTGTTCAATGCGAGCAAATAATTTTATGGTTTATTGATTTCGCTTGCCTCAATTTATCGGGGGGAGGTCAACCGTTAGGAACTGTAAATGATTATTTCATTAAATTTTTAACTGAATTATTTATCTTGATTAAAGATGCATCATCGACGCCGCTTTTTAAAATGACCGATTTTAATACTTGACATCGATACTTTAGAAATGTTAATGGTTTGCATCTTATATGTTCCAATTCAGACCTATGTTCGAATTCCTCTTACTTCAAAATAATTTTTCCCTTTTATTATGCCTGTTCAAATATAATTGAGTAATGCATTAGATTCGATTTATTTAAATGAATTGGAGACATTATAGCTTATACTTCCTTTATAAAAATTAATTTTTCGATATTTATCACAGCAAGATAATTTTTTTTCTGTGTAAACTCTAACTATCCTATTCTTTCCATTTCTCGGATTTGGAAAGGCATCAGCTAGACGAATAATCAAACAAAATTTAGTTATATATTTTATATTATAATTTGATATTCAGTGGGGCTGTGCCGATATCGGATCGGCACCGATATTTAGAGTTTCCGAAAATATCGGATCGAGCCGATACCCATAAAAATGGATCCGATCTTTTTACTTTTCTTTTTTTGTTGTTTTATTTTGTGTATATTTATATATATTACATTAATAATATTTTCTAAATAATTTTTTTTAAAACAATACAAATGCACAACACCCCTTAAATTTTTTTTATTTTTTAAAATGGATTTATAGTATTTTTAAAAGTTTTTTTGGAAAACCCAAAGTTTTATTTATTTTAAACTTTTTTAATAATAACGCTAATTTTATTATTTATACTTTAAATTAAATAAAAGAATTTTTTTAAATATGATATCTGATATGGAAATATTTTACAAAAGAAAAATTCATTTAATACTACCAATATCCGTAAACTTTTTTTAATTATTGTAGAAATAAAAAAATTAAATTAAATGCATAATTCGATTTTTTGCATATAAAATATTGTTTCTTAATTACATTTGGTTCAAAGGGGGTGGTAAAATCAATATAAATATCGGATCGGGTTTGAACCAATATCGGAGAATATCAGATCGGTGAAAAATATGTGGATCAGCACAGCCCTAATATTCAGTCTCAAGTGGCTACAAAATTAAAAATATCAGTCAATATCGGAATAATGCTTCTCTCATCTAGATATTTATTCTGTAATTTACCCTAACTAAGTAAAATTTATGTGTAATTTTATCAAACTACTATATATATTTTAAATATTACTTTCAAGCATTCCTCTATCACAAATGTAAAAATGGAAGAAGCTAACGAAGACCCCAATATTAATCAATCCTACTCTCGCGATGCCATTTTATTTGATATTTTGGCGATCATCTGTGAATTCAAAGAACCCCTAGATTTCTCTCGATATATTAACGTCCACCGTCATGTTTTTTTCGGATTTTTGACAGGCAGTTCTTACGAAGAGTTAAAAAAGATGGCGGTTCTTATATTGAGGTATATATCTTCTAGTTTTGATAGGACATTTGACCATGATTCACAATCAAGCCTAAGAAATATTTCTAACGAGGATACAGATAGTGAAATAAAGATTCATGATGTAAATAAATGCGATGAAAATGGTGATCATGATGAAAACTTGGAAGAACTTAAACATATTCCTACCGGGACTAATGCAGTAAGTTAAAATCATGTTTTTGAATGAAAATATAAGGAAAGTCATTAATTAAACCTGGTATTATTATATACAGTTAGTATTAAGGTATATTTCGAATTTTGAAGTATAGTATTATCACTGTAATTTAAATGTGAATCAGATTTTCCTATGACCATCTTTTATATATTTATGCACGTTTTAAAATCATTTGCTTCGAAAATCACCATTCAAAAATTGCTAAAAATAATTATTATTTTTATAACATGCTATATTTTTCAATTATTAATATTATTATAAGATATAAAGGTAGGAAAAAATTTTTAAATTCTTATTTGTTCTATTTAAAATATTTTTTTTTATCATTGCCTAAAAAAATAACGATTTAATTTTTTGCTCTTTCGTTAAGTATAGAGAGTAGGAAATTATGGTTTGAATCACTTTATATTTAATAATAACCATAACAAGCATATGTTTGGGTTGGTGGGTTTTTTTTATTTATCCATTTTACGAGATCTTTAAGTGATTTAGTATGGCGTTGCTAACGTAGAAATAAACGAATAATAATGATTTTTTAACAAATTTTTTACAAGTCTTATATATCTTACGATTGGAATAAATGGTATACATTAACCGATAGTCAATGGCCTAAAGATACGCTCTCCTCTGTGTACTTGCTAAAATATTACTTGACCCTATCCGACAAGTCTTACTATGGCGCGTTATGTATGATCCAGAGTTTTGAGAAATTTATAAACGAAAACTTCAATGATTGGGGAAGAATGTGGTCGAGAAATTTGGGAATTGATGTAAATTTTTTTTTAAAATGAATGTATAACAAATATTTTAAACTTTAATTATTTATAGCGCGCATTTATTTTTAAATTTTAAAAACATGATTATGTGGGAATCTTATTCCAATACATATGGAGGTATGGAGTATTTACCCTTTCCGGCACAATCAAATTTTTCAAAATTAAAAAAGGGCGCGCTAATTATGGTTTATTAAATTTTCTAACAAACCCGGGTCTATGAAGCATAAGTCCTGAATTTTTAAAACGGTAATTTAATATAGATTACAATAAAATATTATATTATATGTAATGGAATTTATTTTATTTTAGTTAATGGAAAGAAACTTGTTCGTCAGACTAACGATTTTTCACAAGATTTGTTCTGTTATCATAACTCCCAAAGTCGCAGAGATAATCGGACACAAAATCATAAAACCTAGCGTTTACGGATTATTTCAAAATATACGTTATTTATTGATGGAACTGCCTCACGCTTATATTGAAATTTTTAACAATAGCGTTTTCAAGGTCGTAATATTTTTTTATATTTAATTTACTTTCCTTCTTTTAAGTTGAACAAAAAACACAATAAACGTAAACAGGTAATTAAGTAAATTATATAAGTAAAAAAAGTTTTTATAATATGATTAAAATAAATTGAAGTTGAAAATTTTTTAAAATTATTTTTGAGGATCTATATAGTTTCTTTCGTCTAAATTTATAAGCAAAAAGTTAGAATTTTTTTTTGAGAATGCTAATTTGGAATTTTGATTGAATTTTCGTTAAAATTCCTTATTTTTGCAAAATCTTTTGAGATTTTAATATATAAATTAATTTAGATCAAAAATCTTCAAAGATTTTTTATTTTGAGCAAATGTTAAACTGATGTATCATTTTATACCTTATAAAATATTTCAAACTTGAAAGCGTATATATTTGGAACGCTTGTTAGACTTCATTTTATATCTTTTCAAATATGCAAGATATACAGTTTAAAAATGATGCTTTACGCGGATAAAATGCGATATTATTCAATAATTCTTAATACCCCTCCCCCTTCCATCCATGATTAGAAAAATGCCGTAGAATTTTACGCTCACATGGTCAGCACATTTATTTCTTTCGCTCAATTCGTATTCCCTTTCGTGAAGGACCCTGCACCCGAAGGGTACATATCCACAAATCAGGATTTTATAGGTTTTTTTAAGTTCATTTTTATTTTTGCTATATCATTTTTCTCTTTTTAAATCTACTTAGTTTCGAAAAACAGGGAAAACCGAATAGTTAAACCGGTATTAACCGTTATCAATTCCGAACGGAACCGTTAAAATTTGTAACCTTAACCAAACCTTTACCGGGTTGAACCTTTTGATATACTAGGTATGATTAATAATCAGTTTTAACTGATAACTATGTGTCAGCTACCTAAGTTAGCATATAGAAGTGTTCTTAACCATGATGTCAGAAGAGAATCTTGAAAATATTTTAATTATAAATGGCCCAATATTATCTATGAGAGAAATTCAAAAATATTTTATTATATAAAATGTGAAAATCTTGGTATAAAGTCAAAAATACAAAATAAGTTATAATTTCACTATTATTGGAAAAAATATAATATTAGTAAATCACAATTATATAAAGTCATTAATTTTTGCTTTTATCGATTGAAATCCAAGTTCCTTTTTAGCGTAAACGTTTAAGGCAAAATAGCCTAAGTCTATCCTATGCATAGGATGTTCAATCAGGGGGTTTCGATCATTGGGAGTATAAAGCTGAGATAATTGCACTTTATTATGTTTAAGGCTAACCTTTGACTTAGGTAGAATCCCTCTTTGGGATCCTCGGTCCTAATAGAGATCCATTTTTCCAGCTCTTTAAAGAAGGCCAGGGATAGCCGAACGATGTTAGAGTCATGGCGATTAGAGGTAGGAATGTAAAGTTGGCAGGTAGCGATGACGAATATTTAGCGAGTTTATTCGTCTCGGCTTCCAGTAGAGCTTCCCTATTTATATTGGAAGGAGCAAAAGGATCGATGCATGAGAAATCCCAGGTTTTGGAATTCCCCCCTCTTCAAAGGGATCATGGTAGAACCATCAAGACGCTTACCATCGGAATTGTAAAAGCCAGTAGGCTCGAGGGTTGACGGGATGCCAGTAGATTTCAAGGCCCTGGAATAGTATCATCGAATTTTGAGTGCCTAATAAATCTGCCTCTACAGTGCTTGCAGTGGTGACGGCCTTTGGAGTTGACCGATGTTTGATAGAATAAATAAAGACCGATGGCGTGACGTAGCTCATCATTGCTTAAAAGCCGGTCAAGGCTTAGCGATGAGAAAGCTCGAGAAATTAGTACCCGTTGTCTGCGGAAATGGAGAAGAGTAGAAAATGGTCCTTGGGTTGGCTCCTCGATTTAAGGTATGCAAAGGTTTATCCCAGTCCTTCTGTAATGCCAATGAGGAAGGATCGACTAATGAGATAGAGACTTACATAGATCAATTGCTGCAGAAGCAAGGGGTCAGGCTGTTTTGTGAGTGTATGTATGATGGGCTCGCAAGACAGGCGAGAGGATATGAACGAACTAACGGAAAGTAGGGAGGGCGACCTTATGCCAATGCCACCGGATTTATTTGGTAAGGTAGCTTGTAACTAAAATAGATCTTCGAATTTAAGATTGAGTATCTTCTGTGAGGAACTTAATCTCGAGCTCATGCGCAGCGAGGTTGACATCATATTGATTTCGCAACGATAGGAGTGTATATAAAATTCTTGATATTAGAAGGTATTTCTTCAATAGGAAGAAAACTTGGTTGGCTGGGAGGCGGGATAGTATGTCGCGCATGAGGGATATCTCTCATGAAATATTGGCAAGGAACTTGATAAAGGACTCGTCTTTACCTACTGGAGATCCGAGATGTGTCAAAGAGTTCAATGCCGTGATCGAACATAAGATCGTGATTAAGGTCAATAATCCCAACGGGACAATATTCGCTCTTGTCTGGATTAATTCGCAGTCCCAAACTGCTCTCGCTGGATTTTATTATCTTGTTTGTCATCACTTCATCTGGTGAGTCGCCTAGTATACCATCGTCGATATACCAATTATGAAGATTTAGCTTGCATTGGTTATTTATGCCTCGTATATTAATGCCCAGACAAGATGGTCACCTTGTTGTATTCCATCGCTAGTAGGAATTAATCTATCTTCAAATTGGACGTGCGAGGGATTAGCATAACAATCGAAGATAAATTATGAGTATTCTGGGTAGAGGGTGAGGATAGGATTTAGAAACGCCCTATGCCTTAGAGAGTTAAAGGCGTTCGAAAATTCTTTTAATTAAGATATCTTCGCTGGGGTCTGTTTGTAAATACATCCGGGTCATGTGAAGGGATACCTCACATCCACTTTTTACGTAGGCCCCTAATTGATTCGGGCACAGGTGATTGGGTATAGGGAACAATATTCTGCTTACTACTAGGTTAATCGGCGCCAAGTGAGGGCTAATATCTTTATTAGGTTTATGGAGAGCGATGAGTTTAGCTCCGTATATAAGTGGAACAATGGCGGGTGGTATTCCTCCAGTAAGTATACAGTTGATGAGTTGGGTAATTTTTTCCAAAACGTCACATTGTAGTGTGATGCAAGTTATGGTTAGATCCTGTAGGAATATTGGCCCATCAAACCCAGGTGAGGAATCGCGTTTGAATGAGAGAATAACCTTTTTAACGTCGCTAGTGGTATAAGTGGCTGCAATTAGAGGAGCTCCAGGGTAAGACGGTATTTTTTCCTTAAGATCGTGTGAGTGGTGTTTTAGGAGAAGAGTTTGATAAGTTGCTTGATCGTAGGGAGTAAGCATATTGTCAGAGGTTGCCAGGCATATGGCGGATTTAATATTCAGGTTATCCAGTTTTTTAGATATTATGTCTGGCCTTGAGCAGGTCATTTTTGTGATTTTTATTTTTATCTGTGTCATCGCCCTTTAAGGATGTGGAAATGTGATTAATGAGTAAGGGGTAGATAGTTGCATCCTTAATTTGCTGTCATTTTTTGCTGGCAGGATTAGGAACTTGTAAGGTAGTAAAGGCAAATGACAGGGTGTCTAGCCAGTGTTTTACAGAAGAATAATTATTTATCAAGAAAGTCAAGTTTTTCGACAGATGTCTCGCAACTTGAAGCCTTGCTCCCTTGGCTAAAATGGTTTTGGTGTCAATAAAAATATTTATACATCTGTGGTCAGCTGGATTAAACGTGGAAACATTTGCGCCAGTGCAGGTAGGGACTGTTGGGCTAGTAAGCATATCGGCCAACTAGGTGGGAATGGTTTTAGTTGTGAGTAGTGTTGTTAAACTGCTCATTTTGAGCCAAATTTTAAAAATGGCTAACTCAATGTTTTATTCAGAAAAAATATTATGCAAGCCTTAAGATTTTGCTCATAGGTGGCACAAAGGTTTGGACATCTATTAGCGAAATCTCGAGGCTTAGGCAATTTTTTTTTGGTTAAAATATTGGGTTAGCCGTTTTTAAAAATCGGCTCAAATCAAGCCGTTTAACAACACTAGGGGCAAGAGCAGAAAAGGCATATAGGGTTCGAGGAATGGCTAGTGATAAGATGGGTAGAGATTGAGGACACTTTTTTTGGTTTTGATGAGATGTCAATAGCCCCAATTCGGTCACTTTAATAAGTTTATTACAGAGTGGACAGTTATATTTGGAAGGTGCTGTGTTGATGTCTGGTAGGCTCATGAATTAGAAATTTTTACCAGATTGTGGGAGAAGCTGAATATCATTATTGTTAAAATTCACAATTGTGTTTATGGCTAAATGTATGTATTGTTTTTTAAACTAAAATTCATATAAGTAAAATGTAATGAAATTTATGTTGTTATCAATGACCATCAATCATATAGTCCATTTACTAACAAATTTAAAACTCTATATGGAATAATTCTATCAATAGTTATATTGCCTCCCATATCAAATAGGCACAGTTTTAATACTTTATTCTCAAATGAGTTTATATATAAAGCTTTAATTGCAAAGATGGTTTAATAATGGGGTAATTGATCTATATAATTATAACAGCAATATTATATTGTAAGATTTGTGATGGAGAGGGAGGAATACTGATGGTGAGTAGAATCAGAGAGTGTATACTTGAACACCTAGATGCAATAGAGCTGTATAATATGCCTCAAGGAGGGCAAAGGCCATATTTAACATTCGAGTTTGTGATCAATTTGGGTGATTATGTAGAATCTCAAATTTATTTGAATGAAATGATTTATAAGAATATGATATTAAATTAGAGTGAATATAATGTTATTTTAAGTGGTTTTTAACTGATTAATATATATTTTGAGCTTAATTCTTCTAAAGTATCTTTTTGATAAAATATATAACATATAAAAAATTATTTTTACAAAAAAAAATATATAATATCCTGCAATCCCTGCTCCAATGGCTCCTACACTTTCTGAGTCATGGAAGCAGAATACCCCCCCCCCCCTCTGAAAAGTACTCCCCCCCCTTTGAAAATATAGTTAATTATTTTTTGACACCTATAAATTTCAAAAATAATTTTTATTGCATAAATCTTTAATAGATAAAATAAAATGTGAAAAAATATATACTTTAAAAATATTATTCTTAAATGAATAATTTAGACAAATTAAGGGAATAGAAAGCGAAAGAATTTATAATTTCATCAATATTTGATTGTTTGAATAAATTTTATTTCCATCGATAAAATGGTTAAATTATTAATAAATGGATCTTTCATGGTATTACTAAGTCTTGCTTTAATTAATTTAATTTTACTCATGGCCCTTTCGGTAGTACATGAGGTGGTAGGAATGGTTAATAAATATTTATGTAAAATTATTAAAATAGGGAAAGGAGAAAAATTTTAAAGTAGACGATAAGGTGAAATAAAAAAATAGTTTTTCCAGTCTGAACCATAAGTCTCAGAATTATTATCATCATCAGAAAAAGAAGCTAAATAATGTATTAGTAAAAATATTTTAATTAAATAAATTTATTATTCTCAGAATCTGACAAATCTTTAGATTCTTTAAACTCTAGGTCACATGTAATAATTACATACCCCGTTTTAGCCATCTTAATATAAAAAAAGTATAAACAATTAAATATTTGATAAAAAAAATTACTTTGCTATTCTTCTAATTTTGAAAAATATTCTAAAAGCTATTATTTCAAAGCTGATAATATATCGTAAAATTAAGCCTACCATGTCTTTTCTAATGTGGTCTGTCCATTTCTCATCTCTTATATTATGGTATGTGCAATTATTTAAGCATTTTTACTTATTTTGGTTAATATTTTTGGGCATATTTTGAAATTGGAAAATAATTTTATGGCAAGGAATCTTGGATAACAACCTAATTTGCTAAATATCGAATAAAATTTATTAAAATGTAATAATAAGACCCCAACTTTCGGTGTCCAATTTGTTGCACAAACATGTAGTGTTATTAGAGTAATTAGTTATATTTTATTTTTGTAAAAAAGATAAGGAACTATTTACCTTTTTTTAAATGCTAGCTACTTTTAGGAATTTAAAAAGACCTCAGAAGCATTATAAGTAAGAAGGAATATTCTAAGAGCAAGGAACCACATCTCCCCTAAACTACAAACATAAATAAAATAGTTTTAATTTAATAAAAAATTTATAACTAATGCATAACCTGATTTTCCTAAAATATATGCTACTTACCTTTACAATATTTTTCTTCAATTTGTATTTGTTCATTTTTTTCATCCTCAATTTCTTCTGTTCTACAAATTGAAGTAAAAATGAACAATATTTAAAAAATTCTAGATATTATTAATAAATAAATATTATAAAAAATACTTATTAATTCCTAACTCACTAATAATAAAATAATCATAATTGATATAACTAGAAATAATCATATTGATAAATTAAATTACCGTTTTATTTCTATCCCTTTAATTAAAAAATTTTCCATTTTATTAATATTTTTGTATAATGTCAGGAAAAAAGATTTTAATAAAATATATTTTTAAAAAATAAGTTTTATATTGGAAATTGATATTCAAAATTTGCAAAATTTTGACTGGAGGGGAGGGGGTGTAAAATTTTTATTAGCTAAAAATAATATATATGGAAATTCTTCCCCCCCCCCCCCCCATCGGTAACTCCCCTATTGGTGAGTTCGAGCTGTTTAGCAACACTACGTCAGCCATAAACATTTCCCATATTTTAAATGAGATGATTAACTCTTGAAGAGTGAAAAAAAACAAAATACACTTAAAACTTCGTATAGGTTAATTGATTTTTTTTAAATGGAAATATTTTAAAAATATTGGTTCAAAAATAAGATTATAAATAATAATCAATCTAAATATCGTTTATCGGATCGATTTTTAGGTATATCGGTAAATATATGAATTGATGAAAATTTGTGGATTAACACAACCCTATTTTATAAACCAGTTATCATTGAAACAACCACCATACAACTCCTACATAAAAATATGGGAAATGATTTTTACATATCATATTTTGTCTAACCTTATAAAATTAATAAATGTTAACAACAATAGCAACAGCTTAAAGTCATAGTGTCTAACTAGAATAACCAAAGATGTTGCAATATTCGGACACTAGACAACCTTGACTCCTTACGCCTGGCTAGTAATTTTAAGAAAAGTTGAAACAAAAATGACATGATATTCCAAATAAATGTGAAATCATTAGCAAAAGGATTGATTTCAGTGGACATAATCGAAACAATTAAATCAGTATCTAGTAATGATATGGCTCCTTTTGATGAAGTTTAACCTTTTAAGGGAGCTTCATAACATCTCCTTCCAACTCATTTGACCTTACTTCCATGACGAATCGACCAGTGATTAGGACGACTCTCTCAAAAATGAATGAAATTTGCATGTTAACTATGTATTTTGTAAATGTTAATAAAATGAATTTTGGAGCGCTAGCTAAACCAGATCCAAAGATATACGCCTTCAAAGTCGAAAATCGTGCAATGAGTGATTTCATTAAATCTTTTTTTTTAAATAGTTAAGATAGAGTTACATTATATATCATTTTATCGCTCTTATAACTTTACATTGGAAAATATCGAAATATAATTAAAAATCCAAGTGTTTTCTTATTTCCGATAAAAATAAAAAATTACATATCGTGAATTCCATGACAAATCAACATAAGTTTCAATCCGATCTCCTCAGATTTTCTAAAATTTATACTAGAGTTTGCCTATATTATAACTCAGAAAAAAATAAAGTTTTAGTTTCCAACTCCAAACAGCGATTCAGATTTGGGCCGTTAAAGATCTTTAGGACATTTTAGGCAAAATGTTTTCCCTTTAATTTTGGATATATTGAGTTAGAAGCATCATTTAATTTATAGTTTAATGGTAGACAATAAAGTTATGTTAAATTAAAAAATCTAAATGTCAAAAACCGGTGATCGTAGAATCAAATCGGCATTTATTTTTCTTCCTATTTTTTTCATATATAGATATAAGACTAATTAATTAATTTGCAAAATTTCAAGTTTATCCGATTTTGGAGATTTGAATCATAAGTCAAATGTAAAAATTCATAATAAATATATGATTAATCATTAACTAAATATATTTAAGCGAAAATAAATATTTTATTATTTTTATTTAAATAAAAGATTAAATAAGGTGGGGGAGGGGAGTCTATTGTTAATTTGTAATATATTTACTTCATTCCAAAAATTCGCATAATTTGGATTAAAATATACGTTGTGAAGGCCTTAGAAATGTACTTTCTTGAATGATTAACCAAAAGAAATCCTTAACTATAAGATTTGCATTAACGGTCTTAAAAAAAATTAAGAAATATGTTTTGAAAATTTTTTCAGAATTATTAATGATAAATGTGAAATCATTAAGCAATTGAAAATTAAATTTGAAACAACACATTTTCGAAAATTAAAATTCAGATTTTTACGGGTTTGCCAAATTCTTGCACCCTAGAAACAAGAAAAATTTTATACGACTGAATCCATGGCAAGGATAGCAAAAAAATTGGCCAAGGAAAAGAATGTTTTATCCAATCCAAATATTATAAAGGCTAGAAGTGTTATTCAAGACTATTATATATTACAGAAAAATTTCATAACGATTAGAAGAGTCGTGTGATGACTGGAAAACCCGTTTTATATCAATTAAGGTTAAAAGAGAGAATCAATTGAAGAAAATATTATTTTCATGAAATTATAAGGAATTAAAATTATATTGTAATTTTAAAGAAACTCTTTAATATAAAAGTTAGCTTTAGTAAATTTAGATTTAAGACCAATTTTTTTAAACTAAATTGATTTTCTTAAAAAATGTTTTATCTTCTGATGATGTAGTACTTATTATTGTTGTTAAACTGTTTGATTTGGGGTGCGGCTTGCCCACAAACGTGTGAATGGCTCCTCATTTTTCTTTCCCTAATAAATATCCACTTTGATGGGTTTGAGGAAATCCTAGCATAGCTCTGTTGCTTGTCAACACTAAATGGCATAGCGCTGAAATCATATTTTATTTTTATGAGAAGAGAAATTCAATTATTCAACAAATAAACTAATCAACACCCCCCCCCCCCCTAAAAAAAAGAAGAAAAAATTTCCCCAAATCATAAATAACTATTATTTATATAAAACATAAAATATTTGTTGACTTATATTACAATTATTGATTAATATCAAATATTTATTAAGAATATTTGCAATAGACTCATGATTAAAATGCCATATCTCCTAAACTTGAGCTCGGCCCAACTTGAAAATTTGCTTATTTTAATCCTATATCTTGAGTTATATAAGTTTTTATATTGTTCTTTAATAACATATTACAATTTATAAGGGATATTTAACATCTAATAACTTGCTATTATTTTTAAATCAATGTAAACCATGATAAATTTATATAAAAATAATTTTATGTAATAAAATATTATAATATATAAAAAAAAATTCCGATTTGATTTTATGATCATTTCCGGAACATTATATAAATTTAAGTGCCTGCTAGGCTATATAAAGAAATTTAAATGATGCTTCAAGCCTAATTATATCCAAAGATATTTGAAATTAAATGGTATGCATTTTCTCCAAAATGCCCCATTTTTTAGACATTTAGAAACTCATATCTCAGCTGCTGTTTGGAGTTGCTGGCTAAAATTAATTTTTTTCTCTTAGTTATAATATATACAAACTCCTGTAAAAATTTTAGAAAAATCTGAGAGGGTAGGATTGAAAATCATGTTTTTTACCATATATTTCGATCTTCGTCATTTTTTTAAAACATCATTTTTTTCAAAAAAATGATGTCACACACCATGGCAAGATTTCAGGAATATAATTAGTTCCTTTCAATTGGTCACTCACAGTTACCATCAAAATTGGGAGATCTCGACTTCTTTCTCCTCAACGTTTATTATCCTGGTTGATATCCACCAGACTAAAAAACAATTCAATGTTATCAGATTTCATATTCTCTTCTGACCTATTTGGGAGCTATTAACATTTGGAAAGCTACAATGCTACCTAATATTTCATTTTCTTTATAATTATAACACAAAAATCTCTTATCATTAATCGATAACTTTCAAAAATCACATTTGCTAACCTACTTATCTAACTATGAATGTTTTGTATAATATACTAGATTTTCGCACCGCGCTTAACTTGTCTTTACTTGTATATATTTACCAAATTTTTCCCCAGGCATTATAATTTAACACAGGCCTTAAAAAGACTGAAAATTTTAGTGGATTTTATATTAAAAATAATTTTAAAAATAAGGAATTTTTTTTTAAAATTTTACTTCACATTTAATGTTTTAATACTATATTCCTCTATTCATTATATGTAAATATTATATTCATAAAGGTCTCAACGAAATATGCATCGCCGATTTATCTTTAAACGATCTGAACAATGAGGCCAATACCGTAATTAAGCCAGAAGCCTTTGCTATGTATTGCTGGAGGAGTTTAAGAGAGACCTCTCTAATTTTTGGCGAGCTGGTTTCCACTTGGACGTCGGATCCGACGTTATATAAAGAAATTTTAAAGGACGAAGATATTCGTTTAGAGTATCAAAATTTGGTTATCATATACATTGCTTTTATATCCTATGGTATACCTGATTTCGTTTTTTGTAGAGGCCATTACACTCGCTAATTCCTTAAAAGATAATTATATTCTTCCTTTTTCGATCATTTAATAATCAAAATTATATTTTAATAAATATTCTTTTTTCACAGCTCTTAGGAATACATGACTACTATAAAACTTTATTATTGGAGAGCCTCCATATGGGATCCATAGAATTCGCCTATACTGGATTCAACATCGTTTGTGACGCCATATTTAAATTCGATTCTAACAAATGCGTTAGCCTAGATAGGAAAAAATGCAATAAGTTAGTATCTAGCACTACACATCCGATAGCTATTTTTAGGTTTAAGATAGCTTATATTTTTTTAAAAAAATCATATTTTCATGAGAAATAGTACTCTTAACTTTTATTATAGTTATATTACTAATATTTTTTTTACTTAATTTATTTAACCTACCAAAGATAAATATTATATTGGATAGATGAAAAACAATAAATTAAAGTTAATGTAATTGCCAATAACAATTGTTAAATTAAAAAGTTTAGCATGTATCCTATTTACATGCTAAAAAGTTATATGGCCTGTCTTCTTTCATGTTTCTATTTAGGTAATTTTAAATCAGAGCTAGTTTTTGGCATTATAAGTTCAAATAATTTTCTAGTTTATCTTTTAGACTGTCAAATATCTTCGGTCACTATCTACTTTTCTTTTTTCGTTATGTGCTATATGTTTTCTATCAAGAAAGCATAACATACAACCACATTCTGAAGCCTAGCCTCACGGCTTTTTCTAGCACACATTTAGACACGTCATATGTGAACCAATAATAATTTTTTATTTTGTTACATAATTTTTTTAAAAATTGTAATATTAATAATTAACTTTTATATAGAAATTTTTTTTAATTTTATGGACGGCTTCATCAAATGTTGATTTAAAATATTAGTATGATTGGGTCATTCCATGACAAATCAACCACGATTCGGCCAACCCCCTTCGATTTTTTTAAAATTTGGTGAGCAAAGAAAGGTCTATGTAACTAAGAAATAGCCAAAATTTTAGCCTCCTAATATTTATATTTTTGAAGATATTAGGGTTCAAAGCGGCAAAAATGACGTATATTTACCATTATCTGCCTTCATTCATTTAAGCATATCTTAAAAACTACATAATTGTAAATAACAAATATAATATCAAAATTACGTACTAAGATTCTACTTTTAGATAAAAAAAAAATTTTTTTTTCCGGTCATATTATTTAATAAATAAGGACAAAAAAACGATTTTTTGGAAATAATACGACCAATTTTTAAAAAATTTTTAGTAGACATTATTAAACTCTTCCTTTATATTTATAAAAAAAAAATAATCTGGGATGCGGCCATCTTCATTCTCAAAATCGATAAAAATGTTTAGAAAAGTGTATAAATATTTTCCAGAATATAAAATTATATATTTATCAGTTTTTAATGGTTTTTCTTGAACTTTTGATATAATTTAAAGGACTATTCATCTTGTAAGTGAAAATAACAATAAACGGGGCTTTTATTCAATTATAGAAATTGTCTATCGATAAAATAAATTCAATTTATTACTTTATTTATAATTTATTATAAAAATTTTTGCCCATATAACATATTTTTAATGAATATTAATAAAATATGTTCAATTAAGTTTCGAGTTCTTGAATATATGGATCAGAAACTTGTGCATTTCATATATGGCACCCTAAATATTAAAAAAATTGATATAATTTAAATTTAAAAATCTAATATACAACTCACTTTTAAAAGATTCTAATTTTTCGGCCCATTTACTTTCTTGTGACGACAATGTATAACTACGCACAGTAGCAGTTAACAGTGAAACTAATGTTAAGATATGACATTTGGGCAAGTAAAGAGTGTCGTCTATACTTGGAAATGTAAAGGAATTAGAAAGTCCGAATGGGTATAAAAACTTTATATATATTTATTCCTGCTTTTGATTTTTCACTAAAACAAAGCTAACCACTAATTAGAATCATAAGGATACGTTAGGTATCCTGATATTTCTTCAATAATTATACTTTCATCATTATATGATAACTATTCGAAATAGACTAAGTGTGGAACGTATCACAAGAGATGACTGGGTAAAGAGATGCACAATGATGGAAGTAGGAGGATCAAGACCTAGAGGAAGACCCAAGATGACGTGGACAAATGTGATAGCGGCGGATATGAGAAGCATGAATCTTACAAGTATTGATGCTCAGACCGTTAAAAATGGAAAAAAAAATCAGAGGGAAAACTGGCCTACCCGGGTAAACCTGGAAATCGCCATAAAACGGAGAAGAAGAAGAAGGCTATCCCGATTTTCGAAAATCCGATCCAATATTTATATTGTTTTGGGTTATTTTATGATAATACTTTTATTTTGTATATAATTTCATAATAATAATAAATTAATATTTGTGATATTTTAAAAATATCAAATTATTTTTAAAAATTGAGTAGAGAAATTTTGATATTATTTTTGGCGTCTATGAAATGCACAAGATTCTGATTCATATATTCAAGAACTATAAACTTGGTTGAATATATTTTATTAATATTCATTAAATATATATTATAAAAGCAAAAAATTTTATAATAAATTATAAATAAAGTAATGAATTGAATTTCTTTTATCGATAGAAATTTCTATAATTGAATGAAAGCCCCATTTATTGTTATTTTCACTTACAAGATGAATAATCCTTTAAATTATATCAAATAGTCTAAAAAAACCATTAAAAACTGATTTATATAATTTTATACAAAGACGCCCCCTTTCGGGAAAATATTTATACACTTTTCTAAACATTTTTATCGATTTTGAGAATGATGGCCGCCTCCCAGACTAATTTTTTTTTATAAATATAAAGGAAAAGTTTTATAATGTCCATTAATTTTTTTAAAAAATTGAAGGTCGTATTATTTACAAAAAATCGTTTTTAGTCCTTATATATTAAATAATATGACCGGATTGGAAAAAATTTTTTTTTTTATCTAGAAGTAAAATCTTTGTACGTAATTTTGATATTATATTTGTTATATACAATTATGTAATTTTTAAGATATGCTTAAATGAATAAAGGCAGATAATGGTAAATATACCTCATTTTTGCCGCTTTGAACCCTAATATCTTCAAAAATATAAATGTTAAAAGGCTAAAATTTTGGCTATTTCTTTATTATATATAAAAAAATGAATTAGGAAAAATAATTAATTAACTTTATAATGTTATCTTTTTTGATATTTTAAATAGGTATTAAAAGGTAAAATGCTAAAGCTAACTGAGGATAATAATTTTTAAATTTATGGATGCTATGAGACATAAGTAAACTTAAAGATAATTTTAATAATTTTAAATCCCCATAAAATCATGTTAGAAACGAGAAAAAAGTAACGTTGGATTTATGTCAAATATGGTTAAGTAAACTTATGATTTCGTTAGACATCTATCCTACTACAAACTTCAATCCTTCAAACATAGATAAAAATACTGTTCCCATATGTCTTACAAGACGAGGAGCTGGCTTACCTTTTTACCTACTTGCCCTGTTATCTCACCACAAAGAGAATTACATAGATACAGACAACTTTTGTGATGACTTGAAAAAATTTGACACAAATTCGGCAATTATAAGTGAAATATATGAACAAAATAGCGAAGATGGATGTAAACCCAGAGGGTCATCAGATAAAGAAGGTGTAAATGGTCTTGAGTCATGTTCTACAAAAGATGGGTTCGATTTTAGCCATGGTCTTTTCTCTCTTTTGATGAACACTTTAATATTATGGGCAGACCCTATAGCAGGTATCTTTTTCAAATGTATTTTGGTGCATTAAGTTTGTGTAACATTTTAGATGAACTGAAATGTATAACTTCAGAATTCGCATACCACATTACTGCTCTTGGTAAATGGACTTTTATGCTTCACCTAAAAATATTGGGAAATAGTTTTTTTATAGAAAATGTTGCACCGATCCAATTTTTAAACCGATATTGCTGGATATCACACCGATACTTGGTACCATACGTTTATGTAAAAATATTCATAATAGCAACCATATTTTGATTTAAACTTAATCAACTATATTTTTTTTAATATAGAGCAAATAAAATTATGGATTTGAGTTTATTTTTTTCAGTCTTATTTATTTTCGGATTGTGATATTTTTAGAAAAGCGCCAGTAAAAGGGAAGATATGTCTTAATAAAATTTAAATTTCTTAAGAGGAGAAAGAAGGATAATAAAAAAATCATTTTATAAAATTTGAATGTGGATCTTTAAAAAAAAATAGGGAAACAACGAGAGGCATTTTAATATTATTTTATAAGAAAATATAATTATTTTTTCTCGAAAAATTATTAACCCTTCAATACTCCTATGAAAAAATGACGTTAGTACTCGGGTGGGGTTTAATAGACCCCAATTTCAAATGTATATATCTCCAGTTATATTCATTATTTTTATTTAATATTTGGATATAAGCTAGAACTAACCTTAAACTTGATAAAATATTTATTTATTTCTATTTCTTAAGCTTAGATTAAAGATGATGAGGATAATTATAATGTGTGCCAAAATTTTCTAAAAAAGCTTACATTTTTTAAATTTCAAATATTAAATTAAAAAATTAACTTATTTATCATATAATCATAATAATTCATAATATGGATTTTTATTCTTCAATATAAAAAAAATTACACTAATTCATTAAACATAAAAAATATATAGAACATTGGAATATGTTAAATTTGAAATGCAAAACATTTATTACATAAAACATTAATGGTTCTAAACATAAATTTATTTTACATATTTGAAAAAAAAATATTTTATTATTTTTATTTTGATGGTTAGATTTAAAAATTCCAGTAAATAAAGATTTCCCAATAATGTCTTAATTGTGTTACATCAACTTCTTTAGTAGAACTTTTATATTGGTCAGTATAGTTTTTACATATAATTTTAATTTTTCATTGGTATGATAAATAATCTCTTCGATCATTTTTGTGTTATGAATAAGTCAAAACATTTTTCTGGAGTGTCAGCTTCTTTCCCTTATTATTCAGATTGGCTTCTTTCCCTTATTCTTTTACTCCTGGCAGATGATTAACTAAATTTTGTTGATGAGTTCTTATTCTTTGATTAGGAAGATCCTTTTTCCATTTAGTAAACTTATTTTTTTAGCTAATTTTAAAGAGAAATATACTATGATAAATAATTTCATATTTACCTAAATAATATTAAGTTTATTGTCTTCAACTAACATTTCTATTTCATCTAATTCAGATTGTGTATCATGATCACTATCATATATAAAATCTTCATCCTCACTATTAATTATATTGTCTAATCACCTCAAATAAAATGATATTACATCTTAAATAATTATATATTTTGTTTGAGAATCTGCAAAAATCATTATAAATGATAAAAATAATTTGAGAAATGAGTCAGCTGGTGAAAAATAATAAAAAAATAACTCCACCAGAGAAAATCTTTACGTTTTCTTTTTCATATATCTCATTCAAAATAAATTTTATAATATAGTAGTATATATTTATAATTTTAAAAATTAAAAAAATTTCTTAAAAAATTACAAATTTACTCTGGTAGGGTCTCACAAACCCCAATCAGTCACAAAATGCCTATATCTTAAAAACTACTCAACCAAAATATATGAAATTTGGAATATAGATTCTATGATATATTTGATGAAGCTACTGAAGAATCCAGATCATAATATTTGACCTTTTTTATGTAATATCATTTCTAGCATGCCTGGGGTTTTATATACCCCACCAGAGTATTGAAGGGTTAAACCTAATTTTTAGATGTTTGAATAATTTGGTATCGGTGCATGTGTGTTTATAAGGTATTTATATCTTGATTTATTATTTATTTATACATAATTGTTGACACTTTATAAATGACTTATATTTTTTTATACAGTCTATCTACCAGGAAGTCAATCAATCTATCTTCTTACACTTGAATTTAATTATGCCATTTTTTAGTAACTCATTTGCAACCATTCTAAATGAAAGTCATTTAAATATTTTAATAAAATAACAAAATATATGATTTTTTTTAAAAAAAATGTTATTTTTTTAATAGGTAAAAACATACCATTTCCCAAGAAGGTTCTAGCATTAAACATGTTAAGAGCAATATTCAGGGACTCCGCCGCTATAACACCTAAGAACATGACCAACAGGGCCGATAAATTACTTTATACTTACGCACCAATAGTTATAATGAAAGTTATTTATCCTCTTTTTTCCTCGCCTCACTGGCCTCTCAAAAATCTGGCCAATTTATGCTTTGTTCCTATCGGTAAACGCATTTTTGGAAATCATTTTGGAAGCGCTCGGGCTATTAAAACCGATTTGAACGATAAAAAGGTATATTTTTTACAAAATATAACAATAAACCCTGTGGTTTGGATACAGATCCAAAAGCAACTAAGGCGTCATCATACTGGTTCCTTGTCGACAAGATTTAACATAGTTTATAAAATCTTTTAATGAGATTTATTTTTCTTTATTAATGTATTTTATCTAATTCCAATTATGACGATCAAGAATTCAGAGACTATCAAAATATTGGATAAAAACTGCGATTAATTATCCACAATCCTCTTTGAAAGTTTCTATTTACAGAGAATCTTAGGTGTTTTTGGATTAAATTAAATTAAACATAATAACTATCTAAATATATGCCTTAAAATCAGTAAAATATAAAAATAAATTTTGTATAATTTTTTTAAAAAGTCTACATTTCCTCTAGTATGAGTAAAATCTTATTATCTTTTCAATATTTTTTATTTTAATAATAAAAGATTTTTTTTATTTATATTAGATATTAAAATGAAAAAGTATCTAAAAATTTATATTTCTTAAATTTTTTTCTTTTAAATAATGATGTGACTGATCATGAAATGAGAATAATAAAAAATATTATATTTTAAAAAAAACGGGTCAAATATTTGTGAGCTAAATTCTTCAAAAAGGAACAATGTTATTTCCAAATTATTGAATTTCTTTGTCAAATATTTATTGAGTTATATTAAATTAGCCAGTATTTTAATTTTACAATATTAAAAAAAATTCATTACAAAGCTTGCGCATAGTATAATTAAAATATTTGAAAATAAACTAATATGTATCATTAAAATATTTTTAGATAAAAAATCTATTTTTTTTATTTTTTATTTGTAAACAGTGATTTAAATATATACCCAAAAAATTAAATGTATATGTTAGCGTCAAGTCAATGTGTTTTTTCCGGCAATGTGTTATTTTTTCAACTTTAAATCATTTATTGAGTGCGTTTTTTTAAATTTAAAAATCTGATTTTATCGGAAATGTATGCCGTCATGCATGGAATACATACCATACCCTATGATTTCAGACAATTTTTCAAAGAACCTTTAAACTTAATATAATTTATATAATTTTTTTATGTAAATTATAAATGATTCAAAGGTTAACACCAAAATTCACAATTCATAAGATAGTAATGTATAGCGAACATGATAGAATATATTTAAGTTAAAATCCGATTTTTAAATTTAAAAAAACGCCCTCAAAAAAGGATTTAGAGTTGTAAAAATAACACATTGCCGCAAAACACACATTAAAGCTAACATATATAATAAAGAGAAAAAAATAATCTACTTAAAAGATTTTATAAATTACCAGCTGTTAAATCGCGTCTAGAGTTCTGTAAATTAATTTTATTTGGTCCGAAAGTTTTAGGCCAGAAGACATGGTTTTTTAAAAAATGATTTAGGACCAGGCATGACTTCTGTCCGACTTGTAGGGCTCTGGTAGTCTTCACTGTGAATGCCACCTAGGTTATAAGTAGCAATCGTAAGTTAAAGTAGCCTGTGATATAAAATTAAGTAAATTATTATAAAATCATTAATGGTAGTACCCTGCACGAATATCTGAGTCCTAAACCTGTCGGTGAAATTTTTTAATAAATTCTTGAAACTGATTAGTCGAACAAATTTTTTTTTATTGATTCGGGTCGATCCTGATCAGTTTTTACTAAAGGACTAATTTATAATATATTTACCAGGGATCCAAACCGAAACGAATATCGATTCAGGTTCAGGTTCGGATAAAAATAACGGTTCAGGTTCGGTTCGTAAAAAATTAAAATATCGGTTCGGTTCGAACCTCTAAAAACCGGTTTGAACACTTTTGTATTCAAACCTACATTCGAATTATGTATAGGGAAAATATTTTTTTATTTTATCATTAATTTAAAAAACACATATAGAAAACCTTCATTTTTATTAATTGCACATTATAAAATAACATTTAATTTATAAAAATAAAAATATATATCAATGATTAATTTTAATATGAACAATATTTTCCTTTTTTTAATTTAAATTTTTTTTATTAAGCCGCACAATTAATATATTTTCAAAATTCGTCTCACTCAAATTACATTTATAAGGAGATAGCATAAATTTAATTGTTGAAATATCTTTTCACACTAACTTGGGTGGCCGGCACTGCCAATATGATATCAGATTTGATGTGTCATTTATAATAATATTTTGGATTTAATTTTTCTCTAAGCATTATAATTTATAAGATTAAAATATTTAAAAAATGTTGTAAAATGACGATATACTAAAGTTTATAAAAATTATGACCGACACTTATCAATCAAATGTGATTGATGATAATCTTTAAATAATTCGAATATAATTGAAATTTAATAATAGCTTGCATATTATTTTATAAGCATAAAATCATGATACTCGAACCGGTTCAGAGGCATTTTAGGGGTTCGGTTCAGGTTCGGCTGAAATTTTTTTAGCGTTCAGGTTCGATAAAAAATACCGGTTTTTAACGGTTTGGTTCAGGTTCGGTTTGGATCCCTGATATTTACCTTGTCTGCCTATGGGAAAACAAAAAGTGTCATTATATATTTTAAAAAACATATATAGAAGTATTACCGAAATATGGATTACAGGGAATTTTGGCTCAGATACAAGTCACTGGCCCAGTTTATTATTGTTAAATTTAGCAACTTGGTGAAATATCTAGTCATTCACAATCAAAACGGTAAAATTTTTCTATAATAATTTTGTTGTCTACATTGTATATTTGATTTAGATTGCAATATTTATTATTTTTGGCATAGGGTTGGCATGATTAATTCAAATTGATTCTTTTTTTGTTTGTATTTTAATTAATTACTAGTTTTTTTTATCAAAAATATTTTATTATACCTCATTTTACTATATTTTTTTTTATGTGTCAATCCTGAAATTACATTTTTGGGTATAATAATAAACTTAACTGATAAAATTATATAAATAATATTTATCAATTTGTTAGAGACTTGCTCAATTACAGATTTCAAGCCTTGCTCAGTTCGGATTTGAATTGTTTTTCGTTTTCAAGCTCAGTTTAATTTTCTTTGGCCCCGCTCAGATTTTTATTTTTGTCATTTAATCTCCCCTTTGAAAATTTAAAAAATTATAATTTTGGCTCTATTTTTAAATTGTTTCAAAAAGGAGCTTAAATATGAGCAGTAAATGAATGTTAAATCATTCTCCATTATATCATTTTCCAACTGATTAATTGATATAATTTAAATTAATTTTTTTAATTGACTATGTCCGCTTTTTGTAAAAAATATATTATTTTTAAGCCAATTATCTTATTTCTAAGTATAACTAGTGTGGACATATTTGTTTTATACTTTGTAAATTAATCACTTAGAATTAATTGTTAATGTAATCGATACAGCCTTTTAAAAGCCGATCCGATTTTTTCGATATCACGTTAATATCGGCTACCCATATAATCGATCTTAATAAAATTTCTGGAAAAATATTAGTAATGAATAAAATAAATCAAAAATATATGCATATAAGGAAATTATTCAATTCAAAAAATCGGTTCTGCCAATTTAATGATATCAGCCGATAGATATTTTTTTAAAATATGAATAGTCTGTTTTATCCAATTTGATATTAAAAAATCGATAAATAGCCTTAAAAAATAATTAACTTTACAATTATTATTTGAAAAATTTTTGAGAATCTTGTTTACTAAAAGTTATTATTTAGGCCATATGCCCCTCACCCGAAAATCTCCGTCCTTTTCCAGCACCTATCCTTTACTCGTGATCTTATTGCACCTCAGCTGTCCATCCTCAAATCCTCCACAAGATGGCATAAGCTATGAAACCCCGCAAAATTATTTCAACAATTTCTTTCCATTAGCGGAATACGCACCTAATCTAGTTTATGATCTGATTACTTTCTGCCTTTTATGTAACGATACACGTCTCTCCCGCTTGACCCAACGCTTGATTATGAATCACCTGAAGCTGGATAATAGTCAGAAATATAAAAAACAAGGTTTATTTTCTTTTGTTCTATTCCATTACAGTGTCACATTTGACTGGGGCTGGGAAACAACATAAAAATTTGAATATCCAAAAACAAAAATACAAAAAAATATGATTTTGAAAATATAAAAACATAAATACAAAAAAAATAATATGATTTTGACTATTTAAAAACAAGACGGGCTTTTGTTTTTGATTTCTTTATCCCTAGAATTTGGGTTTGATATTTTTATTATTTAATATACTTTTAATCCATCCATTCAAATTTTTATATTTTCTGTATTAAATATGTTTGAATATTGGGAATAAATTTGCACAACTTAATATTTATTAGTGCTGTAAACATTTCTAAAAAAATCGAACGCGTTGGCTTTCAACGTTCATTGACAAAAATCGAACGTGTTCGCGTTCACTTTCAAAAAAGAGAAACGTGTTCACGTTCGCGTTTACTTTCAAAAAAGAGGAACGCGTTCACGTTCATGATCGTTCAAAATATTATAATAAATTTTTTTTAAATATAATTTAATATATATAAATGCCTTATATATTTTAACACATTATATTACTAAAGTTAAAAAATAATATAGTTTTATTTTGATATAAATACAATATAATATAGCGAATAAAAGATATTTTTATTTAAAAATTTTTTTTATTAATTTTTAATGACAATTGTTTTTCAAAATTTTCATCTGATAGACAGAAACGCTTGCCAGTTAATACGACATTAACTGTATTAAAAACAAGTACTACAAGGGCAAATGAGGGGATTGCGGTATTATACTTAATAAACAACTCTTTCAACGCGGGGAATTTATTAAAAACACTTATTGTTTTGCCCTTTGCTTCAAATAATTGAGATAAGCCTCCTCCAATCCATTCTCTACTTAGTCAAAAAAAAAGGATATCTCGAAATTAACAGTTCTTGCATTATCATTTCTAGGGTTTTCAATAACGCTATAAGTTTATTAGATTCGTTCTATGGAAGTTTTATCCATGGCGATTGAGGCTTGAATATTGGTTGTATAATTGCACAAATAACATATTGATCTTTATATATATGTTCTAATCTTAAAAAAAATATATGTAATTAATTTGATATTGATGGGTTTAATACCTTTTATTAATTCCATTTAATACTACGTCTATCAATGGTTGATCATATTTAGGCCTTAATTTTTTTAATTTTTAAATACTTATCGTTATTGTTGGAGTCAAATAGCCCAAATCCATTTTTTCTTCAAATTTAATGATTTTACTTAGTTATATTATATAAAATAAAGAATTAATATTGCAATCAAATGTCTTTTAAATTGGAACTTGAAGATTTTGAAACTGATATAAAACTTTAGGGCACATTATACATTTGGTAAGTATTGAATTCCTTTGATATAGGATGCTAATGCAAAATATTTATCATATTTGGATCATGGCAATGTTAATTCATCTGATTTTAAATTTTCAGAATCAGAGGATGATAATGAAATAATAATATCCATGCTTACACTAATCTATTAAATTAAAATATAAACAATAATATCCATGCTTACACTAATCTATTAAATTAAAATATAAACAATAATATTCAAATTAATATACTATGATAATGGCTTGTTAAAAAAATTGAAAAGTGTAAAAGAAGAGCTGATTAAAAAATATCAGACTTTTTCTTAAAAATTCCAAATTAATATTGAATTTTTCAAATAAATATAAATTAAATATGATTTTTTTAATCAACGAACGTTAAATTCGAACGCGTTCGTCAAAAAAAAGGAACGCGTTCAAGTTCAAAGTTCGTCAAAAACAAAAGGAACCTATCATTTTTTTCAAAAAAACGAACTTCGTTAACACTAATATTTATTCTTCCATTCTCAATTTTTTTTATTTAAGGCATTTTAAAATTTCGATAAAAATATTATTCAATTTATTACCCCAATATTTTTATATATGTATATCAAAGAATACAAAATTATGAATTTTTATTAATATATAAAAAATATTAAGGATAAAATATCTCATCAAATTATGTCCATTTTCATTTATCATTCATAAATAATCATATCGTCCATCCTATTTAAAAGGGTAAAATGGATATCTTGGCTTAATGAATTTTATTTTTTCTAATCAAATCCTCTTGATATAATATATTAAATGACGCATGAAAATTTTTTAAAAAAAATAAGATATGTGATTTGATATTTTTTTCTCTAGCCTAAATATAGTCGTACTACAATTCGGCAAATAATTAATTACTCTTCTACACCCTAATCCTTGTAAACTACTTATTCTAATGAAATTCCTTATAAGACATATTCTAGAGAAGTTTTGTTTTAAAAAAAATTCATACTTGAAGAACGTCAATATAAGGACACATGATTTGATTTATGAATGGAATTCTATTATAGGAAGATGGGTCAAAAGCATGCCAAATAGAATTCACAATATGAAATATTCCTAACTTATTCTTAAATATATTAAAAACACTATTAACGACTATTCAAAAAAAAGTTGATTACAATGAGCTGGATATTTAACTCTATATTTAAATAATCGCGGTATTCCATTGTTCAGGATCTAACTGTATTTAAGAGAGTAAATTCAATTATTTTATTTTAGCCTAAGCTTAGCCTAATATTTTATAAATTTTTAAGCCTCAGCTCTTGATAATTAAATTGAATATAAGGCACTCGCAGAACATCTGCTTTTTCTATATTTTCTATAATCATACATTTGTTAAGCACTTCGAGACATCAATCTTAAAATAAAATGAAATATAGAGATCGCACATATAAAAAACCCACGTCTGATGCGTTTTTTTTCTATTGGCATTTGTTTTGCAGTTGTTGGAGGATTGACATACTTTATTTAGATTAATAACCAAGTCTTACTTCATTTCCTTCACTTTATTAATTTCTTTTTTTAAAACATTAATTCTAAACCTATCAAATTTATTTTACTGAAAAATTAATTAAAATAGTTATTTATTTTATTGGCGATATAATTAAAATCAGGATAAAATATTCACTGGTTGACTTGGGAAAGAATGGATATTTTTACTAACACTTATACTGAACAATATGAATATATTATTATTTATAAAGGAAAATTAAAAAGATACCTAGAATTTCGTAATTATATTTAAATTATTTTTTAAAAAATATTTATTATTTATTAAAATACTGAAAAAATAAATAATATTAGTCTATATTTTTTATGCCAAGAATCTGTAGTGAAAGCATTTGTAGCCTCTCTACTCCAAATTTACACTGCGCACTCCACTCAGAAATCCATTAAAACTATGTCCACTTTAGAACTCTTAGTATCTTTCCTGAAGTTCGTTAATCCTGATGCTAATGGCGCTATCATTCCTCAACTATTAACAGAATTGTATACGGCTTTGGCAAGCGATGTTTCAAATAATTCCCCAAGGAATAAAAATAATTACTTAAATACAATGGATGCTCTACTATTTAATTTGAAATTCGAAATGCATCGAATCTTTTCACAATTTTCACACCCTTTCGACGATTCGTGGCTTAAAATTCCACAAGCCAGACCCGCATTTTTCGCTTACATTTCTCAGCCATGTCGTTTATTCTTTATAAAAAGTTTTCCGTTCGATCCCACCAAATTTATGTAAATTATTATTTTAGAAGCATATTTTTTTAGACTTTATTATTTCACTAATTAAAATGAAACGGTCAGAATTTTTTTTCTTGCTCAGAAAAAATATCTAGAGTATGTCTTGGTTCTACTTATTTTTGATATTTATTTATGTTTAGCTTAGATTAAACAGCTTTTTAACTAAGACATCCTGTATTTGTTTTAAGTGTTTGATGACATTGTTATTTTCTTATTTTTTTCTCGTTTATTACTTTTTAGTCGTAGCTATATAGCCTGCCGTTTAGTAATAAGTTTAACCAGGAGACATCCTTAAAGCTCAGAATTTCGCAAATATTTTTTTAAAAATTTTAGACAATTTTTTGAACGTTTTATATATTTTTCTAAGCAATTGATTTTTTATCTGAGCATTCAGTATTTTTTCAAAGCGTTAAGTTTTTATTTTGAGTGTTTAAGAATTTTTTTCTGAGCATTTCAATTTTAATTATGAGCGATTTTTTATTCTTTCTTCTAAACTTAAAAGATGTGCCTTAAAATATATATTATAAACTAGAGACTTGTCCATTCATATTAATTTTTTGAAACCCGCGTCGAAAATACATTTGAACAACGCTTATAGGGTATTTTGGCAGGACTCTTAATATAAAATAATAATTTTGTTTTGATAAAGAATTCTCAAATTAAAATATTGTCTGATAAATCATACACACTTGGCAAATATTTAATAGTTCACATGACATTTCTTGCGAATACCATTCCTTCATTTTTATGGGTGCCATCGATTTCTGCATAGACGAAATCTGTCGAAGGTTCCCACAGTACAAACCCCTGTTACCCTATTTACCGGAATTCAAAGATATATGCAAACCAGATTTTACTCACACCTCGGTGTTGACCAGTTTTTCCGAGGTAGCCCTGTATAACGAGATTGATAAAGTTGGAAAGATTTGTAATATTATTTTATTAATACACTTTTTAATTAGACCTTATGGGGTCAAGGTTTTATAGCACGAGGGGAGTTATCAATTAGTCAACATACATGAGTATCCATTTTACAATTTAATCATTATATATTTTGGTTATCGGGAGGGGGGAGGGGTAGCGTCGATGAGGTTATAACTTATAAGCTAAAACTTTATCTATATCAATACACGCAATTGAAATTTTTAAAAGGCGACAACTCTTATTGGTTTATATTGGAATTCAGCTATATATATTTATTTTTTTCACTGTATAAACTATTTTCAAAGATGATCTTGAAAGTATACATCCTATCATTACCGAAGCATTTAATTTCATTAATAATACGTTAATTGGGTCGTCGATCATGGAACCTGGCAACAATCACTACGGCGAAATTTGTCTTTCTATGGTTTTGTTTTAATAATATAATTATAATAATTATCATTATCGCGGGCGTGTTTTAAGCATAATGAGTATTGCAAAAACATTCGGCTCTACAAGGCGTGTCCCAAAAACTAAGCCTAAAGGCCCGAATTTACTTTTTAAAAAATGTTTTTCCCTTATGCCGAGTAATTCTTAAAGGGTCATTCCATGTCAAATCAATGACTTTACAACCCGACCCATCTCAGATTTTGTTAAAATTTGGTATTTAAGTTAATAAAGTATTGTAATTGACGAATCCAAAATATTAGATTCTTAATTCTATCAAGAACGGGTGATATAGGGCTTCAAAGTGGCTCAGCTTGGTCATTTTTCGAAAAAAATGATTTTTTAAAATTGGAATACTTTTATATTAGGTGTACTATGTATTAGAGATCTGCAAAGTTAGGCCCTTGGCCCGGGCCGAACTCGGGCCTAATTCTATTTAAAATACTCGGGCCGGGCCTAATATTTTTAAAAAATTTGGGCCGGGTCGGTTCGGACCTTGGAATTTTTTTTAAATATATCTAAATTTATCAATTTTATATTGAATTTTTTATGTAAAATAAAAATTTTTGATTTTATTTATTGAAACTAAACGCCATATAACATATGTCTTTTATTTTGAGTAATTATAAAAATTAATTTCTATATTTAAATAAATTCGGGCCTGGCCAAGCCGGTAAATTTTTTTAAAAGAAATTTTGGGCTGGGCCGGGCTTGAAAAATTAGGCCCGATGTAGATCATTACTATGTATATCTATTATGGCTCAATAGCCCTAAGTAAACTCTTGAACATATGTTAAATAAAATTAATTTTTAGTTTATAAATTCTTTTTAAATTGCGGTTAAAAATTTGTAATTAATTTTTCAAAATGTTAGACTAAAATTTTTTTTACGAATTTCAGATATTTCGTAAACAGTACCAAGAACTGTTCATATAAAAAATTAATTTCAGAGTGGGTCCAAAATAATTAAATAGGAAAAATCTTATTTTTGAAAATTCCGCTAGATGGCGTAAGTAGTTTAAAATATCAATTTTATCAATATAAGAAATTTTTTTTATTCCATAATAAAATATTTATCGAATAATTAATAGTAAGCATAATATATTTAATTTCTATATTGCCATTTTAGATTCATCATTAGTTAAAGTATAAGTTCTTCTGCGGATATGACCACATAACTTATATAATTTAATACATTATTTACTTTAGAATATATACCAAATGGATGTAGGGTAACCTGGGAAGAGGCCCAGTGATAACCTTGGACTTCATCTTGAAGTATAAAAGAGTAATTTTCAGAAAATCACAGATAACCAAATAATGATCTTGTTCTAAATTGTTTATAAGATTCTGATGGAATCTATTTTGCTGTTCAGTAATAAAATCATGGCGAATCAAAATAAATATTTTTTCAAATGTAATTAAGAAATTCGTCAGCTGTTTGCGTTAGGGTTTAACTGTTCTATCTACAGATATCCATTGCTTGAACGTTATCCTGTATATATCATGTGCAATTAATAAATTTTCTAATTTAGCCCTTAATATTGGTCCCCAGGACATTCATGGCATTCGCCAAAATAACAGGCTGGCAGGGGAGGATTGTTGGAATTAACTCTTTGTAAGTTTTATCTTAAAATCCCTATTTTTTGTTAAAGTTGCTAGATTGCTATCTATTATTAGATTCTGAGGGATTAGGCAGACACAACCCGAGTGAGTGCCACTTGCATCTGGTATTATACAAATTTTAGGGTGCAATGAGGCGAATTTTAAAAAGAGAAGAGTAGATAGATTTAAAATTTATATAGATTTCTTTTAAATTATTCAGAATTAACCGTTTTTGAAAATTAATCCTTTCATCATTTTCAATTATAGAAAGGCAATATTTTCCGGGCAGTAATCTACTATATTCATCGTTTAAATAGAAACTTTTTACAACTTCAACTGTGCTCTGATCTATGGTTTTACCTGCCTTAGGATTAGAAGTTGAAAGAATCTCCCTTTGACCAAGAATGAATCTTGAATTACGGATCGTATAAAACGAAGCGTTAAAATTGTTTTATAATTTTGTGAATGCTCCAATTTGGAGGTAATGTCGTTAATAATTGATATTTTAGTGTTTTAGACAATAATGGATAAAATCGTCGCTACCATTTGTATTCATCTAGCTTTTGAAAGTCTGCTGAGCTTTTTCTTGAGATATCCTTTTTTTCTTAGGCTCTTTTTTTATTGGAGAACGCCCCATTTAATTTAAAGTACTTTAAATTAAATGGAGCATTCTATAAGGATTCTAAAAAAAGTATAGGGAGTTGCGCATTGTCGTTATTAATTCGATAATCATTTTCTATATCGGTGGAGGTTTAAGAAATTATTTGAAGTTGTAAGGGATGTTGCTATCCTCTAAAATTGCAATACAATTCTTCTTTTTATATAAAAATTTGCGACACAGGACAAATATATTCTCCTTTGTTAATTTTATGATACATTGTTATCCAAATCGTCACTTTTCTTAAACCATTTTTGGAATAGTGATTTGGAAGATTTAATGGATTTGTACAAAACATATTAATAAATTAATTAATTATAAAAATTACAAAGAATAAGTAACAGATAAAAAAATCGATAAATTATTGGAAAAAAATTTCGAAAAAAGATAATTTATTTAATGCTTACTTAATAAATTTTATTATCTATAAATTAATTTCAAGAAAATTTAATTAAAATTATTTTAAATATTTGCTTACGATTAATTATTCGATAAATATTTTATTATGTAATAAAAAAAAATTCTTAGATTGACTTATATTGTAAAAATTGTATGTTTAAACTACTAACGCCATCTAGCGGATTTTATAAAAATAAGATTTTTCCTAATTAATTTTTTTGGCCCCATTTTGAAATCTTTTATATGAACAGTTCTTGGTACTCTTTACAAAATATCTGTAATTTGGAAGAAAAAAAATAACGTATCTCTTTTTCCCTGGACCAATAGCCTCCCACTTTGGGACTATACCTGTGTCGATTTTGCCGCCAAGTCCAACCTCTCAATTTTTGCCATCAAAAAATCCGAAAAAAAACAAATATATATTCCTCACTAACACCGTGTTTATCCCAATCGTTACCAATACCCTAGGCATATTTGGAAGTGATGCTCTCAATTTCATCAAAACTATAGGAAAAAAATGAGGCAGATCTCAGGGGACCCCAATGAAGGATTTTACCTTCGTCAGCAGATTTCCCTAAAAATCTGCCGATTCAATTTTTTAAGCATTCACTTCTCTAGGGTGATTTGTACCCTTTTTTTATTTTATTTTTTTAATCTCATTTCTCTATTATACATATATATTTTTTAATTCATTTTATATTATTTGTTTTTTAATATATATTTTTAATTATAATTTGTAATGAAAAATTTGTGAAAATTTGTTTTTTAATATGATTATTATCAAAGAGGGGGAAAAAAAGCCTAACAATTTAAAAAATTAATTACAAATTTTTAACCGCAATTTTAAAAAAATATATAAACTAAAAAATAATTTTATTTAACATACGTTCATTAGTTTATTTAGGGCTATAAAATGAGCCATAATAAATATACATAGTGTATCTAATATAAAAGTTATTCCAATTTTAAAAAATCATTTTTTGGAAAAATGACCAAACTGAGTCACTTTGAAGCCCCATATCTCCGGTTCTAATAGAGTTAAGAGTCTAATATTTTGGATTCATCAATTAAAATACTTTATTAACTTAAATATCAAATTTTAACAAAATCTGAGAGGGTCGGGTTGTAAAGTGATTGATTTGACATGGAATGACCCTAAAACTAAAACCTCGAGGTTGAAATCAAAGGCGATTTTTGCAGCACCAAAGCTCCGTTTCAACGTTTATATCTTACGTTAAAAAGAATTTAATCATGTATTTTACGGCTTAGGTTCATTCAGCGTCTACATGACAGGATTTTCACTGGATGCTAACCTCCATCAAAAACCTATGCCTACCCCCCCCCCCCCCTTCCCAAAGTTTTTTTGGGCCCCCTTCGGCAGCTATGTTTTCCCTTTATTAATGACACCTTTTTAGTTATAATGATACTCCTTTCAGAAATTTTAAAAAGAATAACTTAAATTATTTCAGCTCTATTACCAACTATCAAAATATTGGGAATATAAAAGAGTTATTTTTTAGATAATGAATTTAATTAAGAACCCTTTCATTTACAATGAATGCATTATTATAGCATTATGAGCTTGCTGAGAATCTAAACCTTTTAAATTACATTTAAAACGATAGCAGGAAGTTTTAGAAAAATAATGTTTATGATTGTTTGCAATATATAGATTTGGTCGATGATCAGCAATATGATTATATTATAATAGGTCTACAATAAAAGAATTAATTTATACAGCAATATATTTTCTCCTATTTCATCTAAAAATTTATTAGGTAAACCCCAAAATTTATCCTACCCCCAGTAAAGGCGCCTCCACCCTACCCCCTCAAGAAAAATTGGATCCAAACTGATCCTACCCCACCCCCACCCACGCTCATGTAGACGTTGGGTTTATTTTATTTTTAAGAATTTATTACTGTATTTTTAACCTTTTTTAAAATATTATTATATACTTCGATCGAAGTTTAGTGCTGTAAACATTTCTAAAAAATCGAACTCCTATAACGTTCATTGACAAAAATCGAACGCGTTCACGTTCGCGTTCACTTTCAAAAAAAAAGAATGCGTTTACTTTTAAAAAATGGAACGCGTTACTTTCATGAGCGCGTTTAAGTTCGTTCAAAATATTATGATGAATTTTTTTTTTATAATTTTAAATAAATAAATGCCTTATTTTGATAATATAATTATAAATGCAATATAATATAGCGAATAAAAGATATTTTTCTTTATAAAAAATTTATCGTATTAATTCTTAATGACAATTGATTTTCAAAATTTTCATCTGATAGACAGAAACGCTTGGCAGTTTAACGACATTAACTATATTAAAAATACGCACTACAAGGGCAAATGAGGGGATTGCGGTATTATCCTTAATAAACAACTCTTCTAAAGCGAGGAATTAATTAAAAACATTTATTGTTTTGCCCTTTGCTTCAAATAATTGAGATAAGTTAGCCTCCTCCAATCCATTCTCTACTTAGTCAAAAAAAAAGGATATCCGAAATTAACAGTTCTTGCATTATCATTTCTAGGGTTTTCAATAACGCTATAAGTTTATTAGATTCGTTCTATGGAAGTTTTATCCATGGCGATTGAGGCTTGAATATTGGTTGTATAATTGCACAAATAACATATTGATCTTTATATATATGTTCTAATCTTAAAAAAAATATATGTAATTAATTTGATATTGATGGGTTTAATACCTTTTATTAATTCCATTTAATACTACGTCTATCAATGGTTGATCATATTTAGGCCTTAATATTTTTAATTTTTAAATACTTATTTATTGTTGGAGTCAAATAGCCCAAATCCATTTTTTCAATGATTTTACTTAGTTATATTATATAAAATAAAAGAATGAATATTGCAATCAAATGTCGTTTTAAATTGGAACTTGAAGATTTTGAAACTGATATAAAACTTTTGGGCACATTTTACATTTGGTAAGTATTGAATTCCTTTTATATAGGATGTTAATGCAAAATATTTATCATATTTGAAACATGGCAATGTTAATTCATCTGATTTTAAATTTTCAGAATCAGAGGATGATAAGGAAATAATAATATCCATGCATACACTAATCTATTAAATTAAAAACAATATTCAAATTAATAAACTATAAAAAATGGCTTGTTAAAAAAATTGAAATGTGAAAAAGAAGAGCTGATTAAAAATATGAGACTTTTTCTTAAAAAATTCGAATTAATATTAAATTTTTTAAATAAATATAAATAAAATGTGATTTTAAAATTGAACGAACGTTAAATTCGAACGCGTTCATCAAAAAAAGGAACGCGTTCACGTTCAAAGTTATAAAAGGAACGCCGATCATCATTTTTTTCAAAAAAACGAACTTGAACGCGTTCGTTTACAACACTAGTAGAGTATCATTTTAAACTTTTCAAGTATCATTTTTACATGTCAAAAATAAGTTAAAAATTATCAGTGTTTGTAATCTTGACGAAAAAGGGGTTCTAGTTCCGATCATGAATATCTTTTTAAAAACGTGATTTCCGGTTCCTAAATTTTTGAAAGGATCTGCTTCCATTTCTGAAACTCTGAAAATGATACTTTGCGCAAGTTTGAAATAAAAAATGTTATATAAACAATTTTAGAAAATTGAAACTTATTCTCTAATATAATATAACATCTTAACAGGCGTCACTCCTTTTATTTGTCATTCCATCGATTAACTTATATGGATTGTTAAATTGTAATGACCTTCTACAAGTATATTCATAAATTTATAATCAAGATTGTTAATATTTATTTTTCTTCGTTATATTTATACAATCTTTGGCTGTGTAATTTATACTTTTAATTTTACAATTTTTTCGTAACAATAATTCAGAATATAAGTTAAAATTTCAGTTAAAAATAATAATGTATTATTTATTTAAGTATTTTTTAATATTATCTTATTATACAAAATAATTGTATGATTTACAAATTTTAATTAAAGGATTTTAATTAAATAAAATAAAATTTAATTAAAAAAATATTATTGAAAATATATTTATCTGCACCGAAAAAAAATATATAACACAATATAATATATAATTTTCATAATATTCGAAGTTGTATCTTAAAGATATGCTAGTCTTTCTCAAAAAATAAGGCCCTATATTAAACAATCTTTCTAGGGAGTGATAAATGAAACATTATATTTAATAGCCTAATTTTAAATTTGGGAAATCATTATATAAATATCAGGCTCGATTCTAATCCTATTTTTTAGGGAAATTTAAAAGCTCCCCTTCCCCTCCCAAAAAAAACATCTTTTAAAAATTCTTTCTATTCCTGGAAAAATATTTTTTGTATAAATCTTTTAAAAATAAGAATGTATTAGGGTAGAAATAACTGATGAAACCACTATCAGTTTAATGAAACAATTTATTCTTGTCTGCTGAAATTAGTGTTGTTAAATAGCCCGATTTGGGTCGATTTTTAAAAACGGCCTCGGATCATTTTTATAAATTGACCCAAATCGGGGTTTTACACTAGCTGAAATACCGCTAACCCCACCCTATATTATAATAAGGAACAGAAGAAAATAGAAATGTATTTAATTTGGTGGAGGAATGGTGAAAATGATAAAGATGCCAAAAAAAATGAATCTAATCTGAAGATAAAAAAAGAGGCTAGATCGTTTAGTTAGTCTTATTTCAAATATATTTTTTAACCAACTAATCTAAATCAGGTATCACCAAATAGGCCAACATCATTCAAGAAGACTGCTTCTAATAATTGAAGATTTTCTTTGAAGTTTTATAAACGAATGTGTTGAATAATTAATTGAAGCTGATGCAGTTTTTTGCTTTCCTTATAAGATCTATAACTTAAACAAGAGTGAATCAAGCTATACCAAAACGGGTTTAACTGGAAGAAAGTTGCTTAAAAAAGGGGGCCTTGAAAAATATGGTAATTGCAGAATACATAGATCCTAAGACCAAAAGATTTTTCCAATTTTAAAACAAAGGAAAAATAATTTAAATCAAGATGACCATTTTAATTTTCTACGCATAAATAAATTAAAACCTTTCTGGAAAACAATATTAGTGAAAAGGGATTAGTAAATGAAATTGAAGTTGTTAAAAAATTATTTGTTAAAAGTTTAGAAATAAAGATTGTGTTACATCATATTTTGTCAAATTTTTATACCCTTGCAAAAATCCATTTCCAAATGTTTTTCAAATATTCTGCATCAGTTTAGATCATCCAAATTGAGTAGTGAGTCCTTTTTTTTTTATTAATAAAGAGAATTATTAAATCAGATAATCGTTCGAGTAGTGATATTAACATGGTCTTACTAGGACATGAACAAAATAAGAAACTTGGAAATGTTCTTAAGGCATTTAAAAATACATCTCAACAAAATTATATTGTTAACGCTTTATTTTTATTAGTTCAATCATTGATCATGAAGAATTAGTGAGAATAAGTTGTGTGTATAGATATCCTTTATTGAATGCATCATTAATTTCATTATCATAATCATATTTAGCATCACAATTTGATATATATAATAATTACATTTTATATTTAACATTACATTTAATATGTATATAATAATCCACGTAAGTTAAAATATGAATTACATTTCTTCTTCCTTCTATCTCCAATTCATCGTCCTTTATATATCTTCTAAAATAAAAAACAATCATTTTACAATGTTAATCATTTTAAGTTAGTGTTAATAAAACAAAACTATTGAGTTAATCTATATTATAATAATGCAAGAAGAAAGAAATTACTTTACGGTAAAATTAAGATTTTTTTAAATATTATTTATTTTTGTTTTTATTGAAAAGTGATACATCAACAGATCATAATATCAATTATAATATAGTTATAAATTCTTAATTACATATATTAATTGAATTCCTAACAAGTATTACGCAAACACAATAAATATAAACGTTATTATATAATATTTGTAAATTCATCAACTCATTATTAGTTTTCAGCTCTAAGTCAATTCTCATCTTCCATCTAATTTTATAAACATATTTGACATAATTTTTTTTTGCATATTTTTATTTGTGGCATTTTTCAAATAAAATCATATAGTTCAATTTTGTGTTCAAATAACTAAAATATTCGTTCCATGATGTTAAAAAAAATTTGTGTGCCCCCCCCACTACCAAAATGGGTGAAGATTGATACAAGCCTGATATAAATATAGTGAATAATATATATTTACCATATTTTTAAAAAATATAATATAAATACATTTCCAAAAGTAACTATTTACAGTTATTTTTTCAAACAAATTTAACGGCCACTTATTTTAACAAATGGGGTTTTATTTAAACTAATTCAATAAACTTAATTTCCTTTTACCTTTTAAAAATTAGCACCCATGATAATTTATTGATTTAAAGATGAATTCTAATTTTTTAAAATGAGTTTTTTCGATTTTATATCGCCTATATTATACTTAATTATGTTGTTTTTATAAATCAAATTTTTAGGTTACGGAACGCATTGTTTTAATTATGAGCGAAACGCGCCTCAATAATTTTCTCGCAAGGTAAAATGAATATAAGGAGATTTATTCATTAAGATTTTTTTTAAGCAATTCATCATTTTATCTTCATAATTGAGTATAATTTATTATACTGTATAATATAATACCAAAAAAAATTTAACCATGTTTTCTTAACCCTTTAAAGTCCTGTGAGCTAATTTGACATCATCATATTGCATGTTATTTTTTAACGTTAAAGACCACGATTTAATTTAACATTTTAAAATAAATATAGATTGTATCCAATCATATTTTTTCAATAATCAAAAAAATATATACTTTTGTTTTTATTTAATATCATGTAAATTTTGACTATTTCCGTTTCGATTTTTTCTGAATTACTTGATTTTACATATTATTTAAATATCTTTTAATTGAAAAATTTTGAAAACTGTTTATTTTATAAAGAAGACAAAATATTCAAATATGTCATCATGAATTTATATTTTTTTAGAATTTTAATTATTTTTGTAAATATATTTTTAATATGATGCGAAATTAACTAATTGGGAATTTAATAAGTTATTTTATTAACATTGAATAAATTTTATTTTTTATAGATGTCAAATAAAATAATTATAATTGAAGGTGATATTTCGGAAACAGATATTGATAATAGTGAGGATAATTTTAATCATCTTATTGACAATATAGATATAGATTCGCCCATAAATGCACTCCACATAGAACTTGATAATGTTCATGAAGGTCCTAGTTTTCCTAATCTCAGTAGTAATTGGGTATTAAAAAATATTGAATCATTTGATACAACATTTTCTAAAAAAAATTCTAATCCCCAAAATAATATTCCAACACCATATCACTTTGAATAATATTTCATTTGATAGATACCTGCATTGTGAATGCATGGTTATTGTATCGAAGACATTACTTCAAAAAAATGAAATTTTTTTATAAAACTTATAACATTTAAATCTCAAATAGTTCCTGCCTTGTTAATGGCAGGTAAAATTAGTAATAGAAAAATAGGGAGACCATCAAATGAAAATCCTAAAATACAAAAAGGATCTAAGTTATCTCAGATAATAACTGACGTTAGATATGATAATTTAGAGCATTGGCCAGAAGTTTCTAAGACTCAAAGGTGTAAATTATGTGTTATCGCAAAGGACTATGTGTAAAAAAATTTATGCTATAAATAGGAAATAAATTTTAAAAAAATTTTCATAATATATAAATAAATGTTTTTTTATATACATGCATTTGGCTCAATGATGCCAAATTGTATCATTTTTTTTACCTGTATACTATGAAATAAAAGTCGAACTCGAAATAAAAATTTTACATCCTTGGTGTATATAAATGAAGATTTTTTATAAAAAAATTTTTTTAGTTTTATTTTAAAAAGTCGAGCTTTAAAGGGTTAAATTATATTATGGTTATTTTTAAATTATATTATGGTTATTTTTAAATTATATTATGGTTACTTTTAAATATACAGATAATTTTTTTTAAATTTTGCCAAAAAAATTAAATATTTATTTGCTCGATAAAAGACCCACTATTTCTCTCTATATGTTTTGTTTGGCCTGTAAGTTATACGACCATCTATTCCTGAATATGCACGCTATTATTAGTGGATTGAATGAAAAAAGCAATATACACGACGATTACTTCGAATTAATTAACAGTATTTCATCAGAAAACAACTCGAATGCCGAAATGTTAACCTTGCTGAGCTATGTTTTCCTTAGCTCCCATGGGTTATTTAGTCTCAATCCTGAAAATTTAAGTTTCATTTTGTCTATTATTAAATAATATATTATGTCGGTTAGCGCTCAAATGTAGGAAAAAGCTGTTATAATCCGATATGACTAAATACTGCATTGCTAAATAGGAATAACGATAGTAATCAAAAAAATTTTATATAATCTTTTTTTTAAAATAATTTTCAGAAAATTTAAATATATTTAAATCAAAAAAAATTATAGATTAAATCAGAGACCTGCAGAGGTACCATTTGCACGGCCCGGCCCGGTTTTAAATTTTTTACGGCCCGGCCCGGATTAAAAATTTAAGGCCAGGCTCGGATATTTTTTAAAAAAAAAATTTCAGGCCCGGCTCGGAATTTTTTAAAATTATATTCGACCTGGTATATACAAAAATTCACCTATGAGGTATTTTACCATATTTTTCAGCGAGTATTATCGCTTATTATTTAAAAAATACATTTAAAAAGCTAATATTTTGAGAATATTATAATGAATTTATAAAAATTATAAAACTGTTATTTATAAAAATGGATATTTTGAGCATATACTATATTTTATATTGCATTGTATAAAAATAAAACTAATATTCATAAAAATGGTAATAATATTTGTCATATACTATATTTTATATTACATTTAAAAAAAATAAAACGAATATTTAATTTATAAAAATGGATAATATTTTGAGAATATAATATATTGTATTTAATTTACTATATAATTTATAAAATAAAAATAAATCGCTATTTAAAAAAATGCATGTATAATAAGTAGTATTTTGAAAATAAAATCTAATTGCTCAATATTAATATAATTTATTTTATAATATAAATTTTTAACAAAAGAAGATAATTGTGTTATATAATATTGTAAAAAAAAATAATGAAAAATGTTGGATTAAAAACTTTCAAGACTCAAGGTAAATATAATAAATGCAATAAATATTTGACAGTTTGCAAAGTAAAAAACCAGCATGATTGACGAAACCCTATACTCTAGAAAGATATTAAAAATTCACAAATTATCATGAAGAAAGAGAAGCATATCTACCTTTTCAGGTTGAAGATAACTTCTTCTTTCTTCAAGAATTCTCCCAGTAGTGGAAAAATTCCGCTCACAGCTTGCACTTAAAGCAGCAATTGCCAATTTTGATAAAATTGGAAATTCGCTTTGATGAGCCGCCCACCACTCTAACAAATTATCCACCTTAAATGTTTTATCTATTATTTATGTAATTATAATATTCATCATCGGGTATTGACATATTACCAGAATTACCATCGTCCCATTTGTCATAAAACGATTCAGTTTGTTTAACAACAGTCGTAATTTGACTGGTCGATGGTATTTCATTTACTTCCTGAGCCTCTTGTTTAATATAATCTTTTATATAGTTTTCCGTCATTTTGCGATCTGTCCCTGACTACATACGTAATTGCTTTAATTTGGGACAGAGAAAAAGTGAAATAAAATGATACTTGTGTAAAACAAATTTTCAATTAAAAAATGCTTTATATTAAGTAAAATCAATTTTATTTCTCCTTTTCGCTTTGAAAGGTATTACAAACTTTAAGAAGTGATATTCCTTTATTTGATTGTTTTGGTAAAATATTCTAAAAATTTAGATATGAATTATAAAAAAATATATTAATAATACTTGAATATTGGGGCTTATTTAAGATATTCCTTTATTTGATTGTTTTGGTAAAATATGTTGTAAAAATTTAGATATGAATTATAAAAAAATATATTAATACTTTGAATAAATTTGCAGGAAATTAATAATTAGATCGATCTGTGGGTGTTAGGTAGTGTTAACCATCACCCAATATATTATTTTAATCATAACTATAATATAATATAATCTTATAACCATTAACTCATAATGTAAAAATTTTTATAAAAAATATTAAGGCCCGGCCCGGGTTTAACAATCTTAGGCCCGGCCCGGATATATTTTAAAAAAATAAAAAAATTTTTAGGCCCGGCCCGGATATATTTAAAAAAAATTTTTTAGGCCCGGCCCGGGTATATTTAAAAAATTTAAAATACGGCCCGGCCCTGCCCGGGTTTAGGGCCGGGCCTGCAGGTTTCTGGATTAAATATCTAAAAATATCGTCGGTCTAGAATTAGAATGAGAAAATCAGTATTAAAGTTTAAAATCAAATATAGGAAAAACTTATCGATCAATTTAATTAAAAATTTCACAAATAATTTATCATATTATTAATTAATTATAGTCTAAAAAAATTTTCCTCAAAAATTTAAGTATAAAATTTATTTGATAAAATCGAAATGCAAGCAAATATAACACTTTATGATTTTTTTTAATGTTCAAAATGTTCCATTTACATTTTTTTAAAGAATTAAATCAAAATAATAACTTCAAATTATCAAAATTAACACTATATCTTTATTTTTTCTAATTTATTCTAATAATTAAAAAAAAATGAATATAATATAAAACTTATTTAATTAAAAAAAAATTCAATACATTCTCTATGTACTCTAGGCATAAACTCTAACATTGTTCTAATATCTTTTTTAGTTCTCATCGTTAATCCATTCATTCTTGGGATCAATTTAATATTTGAAAAATTTGTTGTAACAAATTCTTGTTCATAACATTTTTATGACATTGAAATTTGCATTTATTAGAATTATCATTCTGAACAATCCTTGCTCTTTTCAAATCACCTTTAATATTTATATAGGCCTCATCACATTTCCTTAGTCTTTTTCTTTCATTTTCTTATATTTAGGTTGAGTATAGTTGTTAAATGCTACCTTTAAAAGTAGCGCGCTACTGCTATCGTTATTTGTCAAAAAAATTAGCTCGTTATTAGCTACTATTTTTTAAAAGTAGCTTTACCTACTTTAAGCTACTTTCTATAAAAAGAATTTACAAACAAATTTTTTATTTTTTGCTAATGTTATTTTATAGTAAATATAAAAATCAACATTTATAAATATTAAAATAAAGTTAGTTTTGATTATAAAAAAAATTTATGTAATAAAAATAAATATTTATGGTAATTTGTTGCATTTTAATAATAAAATCATTTCAATATTATCATCCCCAAGTCTAGAGCGATGATCAGAAAGTATAAGTTTTGCCTCACTAAATAATCTCTCGATAGCACTTGAGGTTAAGGACGTATTTAATCTTATATACATATTTTTAATATAAGATAGATTATCAATAATCTTATTTGCAAGTACATCGTATGTCTGGCATCCTATTATCATTTTGAGGGCAAATGCCACAGATCTTCTTTTTAAAGTCCTAGGGTCTAGCCAATGGCCTGTGATTCCCAAATAAGCTCAAAAATATTTAATCAGACAAGGGATAGAATTTTAATCATAATGTTAAATGATGGAATATCAACCAAGGACATTGGCTAAACTGTATAAATTATAAAATCAACAATAACTTTATCAACCAATTTCTGAAAAATATTGTCATTTGCATTATTAATTAATTTGGTTTGAATTGAATTAGTCTTTTTGGAGGTAGAGTCGCCTATACCAAAATTATTTAGATGTTTCTCCATTTCCTTAAAACTCATGAACTGTCTTATAAAATAAATATTACTAGAATGTAAAAATGACAATTTACCTTTAGGTGTTTCTTGTTATAGCTACTGGATTGATTTGAGGAAATAATTTTTTTACATTTTAAACAAATAAATTTGAAGCCAGTTTTGGATTATATATTTATTTAAAATTCAAATCTAGGGAATGGGAAATTTGTATTATAGCTATTAAGAATATTTTCTTCCCTGGTATCTTCCATTTCATTAATAAATTTGTCTGAATCACTTTCAACGATTTGGATATCCATAGGCGATGACATTTTAAATTATTAACACGTGATTTTTATAATACAAATGAAAATGTAAATTACAAATTGAAAATATATTTGAATTTCAAAATTAAATAATAAATCATAAAAATTATAGTTAATTATGATATTATATTTAAATTTTCATGTTTATACTTACCTTCATTATATTTTTTAAAAGTAGCTAAGTAGCGGCTACTTAGCTACTTTGAAATAAGTAGCGCGCTAAAAAATTAAATAATTACAAAAATAGGAGCCGATATAAGCTATAGCTACCAAAAAAGTTGTAGCGCGCTACTTTAACAACTCTGCTTTTAAGATATAACTAATTTATAACTGTTTGGTGTTTGCGAGACCCCACCAAAGTTATTATGTAATTTTTTAAAAAATATTTTTATAATTATCTCTCAATTTTTTTTATCATTTATTGTGATTTTCGCAAATTCTGAAAGTAAATATAATAAAATTATTTAAAATGTAATATTTTTCATACATTTGAGCTGAATATAAAAAATAAACATTATTATCATACAAGGAAAAAAAAGGATATCATAATGCTATCAACTTTTCACCATAATAAAAATATTGGTCAAAATGATTCAAGCAAGCCTGAAATGATAACATTTTATAATATAACTAAAGGTAGGTTAGATATGGTGTATTGAAAGACCAAAATGATACAATTTTAAGGCCTTACACACTTCTAACATAATATCAATTAATTCACATAATATAATAAATACAAAAATACCACTACAAGGAGTAATTTCATATATAAAATTATTAATGAAACTTATAAAGCCATATTTAGAAGTACAACAAAAATTATCAGATTATCCTGACTTTTGAAGGAATTTATACACAATATATTAGGGAAAGTTTGAAATAGTAAAGATGAGAAAACGAAATATATTTTTCAAATATGGGGAAAAAAATTATGTTTAGAGCATATTTATGCTTTATGTGATAAGTCAAAATTAACTATTTCAATGTCCTATATTTTTTTTATGTTTGAATGTATTAGAGTAAATCTTGTTTTATATTGAAGAATAAATATCAAAATAATTAATTATAATAAATTTTAAAAAGTATTATTGATAAAAAATTTACCTTGACATGAAAATTATGTAGGATAGATATGGAATGAAAATACGATTCAATATAAAAAAGCAAAAAATTAAAAAAGAAGCGATTTACAACACGTGATTAAATAAGATAATAGGATAAGCTATGCATATGAAGCAAAATTACATCGTTATATGTAAATAGCGCAAAATTGACAATGCTATAACTTTGGCAAAATTGATATTTTTTAATCTAGTTTTTATTTTTATATATATTGGGAATAAATAAGTTATTATCTACTTCTATCTCAAAAATTTTGAAAATGTGGAGTGGAGCACTCCAATTCTATAGCGACGATATATAATTATATTTTTAAATATTAATGAAAAAAAAGTATATTTAATAACTTATTACAACTCAAATTTATTTTCAATTTTAAAATTTAATAAATATATATCCAAATGATATCGTTTAATGCATAAATATGAAATATCATATCAGGATAATCGAATGATTATTGTTTAGCGTTTTTTTTGAATTAAGGTGTAGATATGGAAAATAGTGATCAGCATCGGGCCTAATTTTTCAAGCCCGGCCCGGCCCGAAATTTTTTTAAAAATGTTTTGCCGGCCCGAATCTGAATTTTTTTTTAAAAGTTTTGCCGGCCCGGCCCGAACCCGAAATTTATTTTAAAAAAATTTATCGGCCCGGCCAGGCCCGAATTTATTTAAATATAGAAATTAATTTTTATAATTACTTAAAATAAAAGACATATGTTATATAGCGTTTAGTTTCAATAAATTAAATCAAAATCAAAAAATTAAAGCACAATATAATCTACGACTTTATATTTATCGTAGATTTACAGTATATCTAATCTTATCAATTATCATATGGCAATCAAGTAATTTTTACCAATATAGCGAATTATATATTTTACAGAAAACTATAAAATATTGATAAGGACATCAGAAAATATCTTTTAAAGACATAGTGGGATGAATAATATGAAGATTAATTTTTGATATCATTTTTTTATTTAAAATAAATAAATTGCGTTAAATAATTGAATGCAAATTGTTGCTATATTTATTATTAAGAGCATTGATTAGTAAAATTTGTTAAAATATTAACTGTAATATATTCTCTAATTGTCAAATATGTCTGTAAAAGTGGAATTTTACCTAGTATTTTGTAATTCTATATAATAGAGGAATATCCACTATATGTCTACTTACTTTTTATAAATAAATTTCTTATACTTGTTTGGAATAAATCATTACCATGCTTTTATATTAATGTATATACAAGTAATTTATTATATTTTATATAAACTAATAAAAATATATTTCATATTTGTTCCAGGCTTATTTTTTTTATTAAAATTAACTCCTATCTTGTAAAAATATGTTATGACTATATGTAGACTAAGGTAACCCGGCCGCCCAAATGGGGTCTGGGGGCGCAGCCCCCATTGATTTTTTAATCCCCCTCTAGGAAAATCCTGGCTACGCCTATGAATGTTTATATTTACGTGTAAAACATTATCCTAAAAAATACTTTTAAAATATTGTGATTTGATCGAATGCCATCTCATAACTAACCTATGACTAAATACTGCATTGCTGGTGATATCCATTGAAAAATGTTCATTTTTGTTTTATGTCTCTATAAAAAACATTATCCTAAAAAATATTATGATTTGACTGATAATCGACCCAATGACTTACTGATTTGCTAGCGTTATCCGTGGAAAAATCTTCATCTTTGCTTTATATGCATATATTTACGTGTAAAGCATTATTCCAAAAAATATTGTGATTTGACCGATTACTGAACTCAAAACAGGCCGCTTACTAAATATTCGATTGACTAAATTTGCTAGTAATATAAATAGACACATGTTCATTTTTATTTTATATCGCTATAAATCCTTGTAAAACATTATCACAAAAAATATTTAAAAAAAATATCGTGATTTGACCGACTCGTAGACCCTTAATAGAGGATTGATCTATCATGATTATTTGGTCGGTTTTTATTTCGGCAATGGTCAAATCATAATATTTTTTAGAATAATGCTTAATACGTAAATATAGGCAAAAGCAAAAATGGAGATTTTTCTATGGGTAATGCCAGCAATGCAGTATCTAATCATTGGGTCGGTTTACGAGTGGGTTATCGGTCAAATCACGATATTTAATAAAAAAATTTTTGTGATAATGTTTTACAAGGATTTATAGGGATATAAAATAAAAATGAACATGTTTCAATTTATATTATTAGCAAATTTGATCAATCGAATATTTAGTAAGCGGCCGGTTTTGAGTTTCGTAATCGGTCACACAATATTTTTTGGATTAAAACTTAACACGTAAATATACGCATATAAATCAAAAATGAAGATTTTTATATGGACAACGCCAGCAATGAATAATTTAGTCCTGGGTCTATTATTAGTCAAATCACAATAGTTTAAAAATATTTTGGGGAATGCTTTACATGTAATTATAGCGACATATAACAAAAATGAACATTTTTCAATGGATATCAGCAGCAATGCCGTATTTAATTAAATTTTTGAGTTGGCATTTGGTCATCACAATATTTTAAAAATATTTTTTAGGATAATGTTTTACAAGTATATATAAGCATTGAAAACAAAAATGGAGAGTTTTTGATCAAGAACGCCAGCAATATATGTGCTTTACTAGTTAGCGGTTATTTTTCGATTTTAAACCTCCCTCATAAATTTCAAAGAAATCATCATTCTTTTAAAATTTTTATGTTTTCCACATGCATCAACACCCAAATACAAAAAAAAACGCTAACCAATAATCATTCGGGTATCCTAATGTGATATTATATTTATGCATTAAACGCCCTTAGTAAATATATTTTTTTCCATTAATATTAAATAAAAATCGAATTAAATACAATTGGATATTTAATCTCTATTTTTTATTCTATAAAAAAGATTATATTATAAAATTTTGAATAAGTGCTTTTTACAATGCAGTATTTAATCATGCCCGTTATAATTACATATTTTTCCTGATTACCTATTCAAAATTTAATTTCAAAAGTAAGTGTTGTTAAAACGGCTATCTCAATATTTCATCTAGACATATATTATAGCAATATATTTCTGGCTAAAATATTGAGTTAGCCGTTTTGGAAAATCGGCTCAAAACGAGCCTTTTAACAACACTATTCAAAACCTAGTTTTGGAAATTTTTTATAATATGGAGTTTGAGTTTCATCAATATCATATTCAAAATGTAAATATTTTAGAATTTTCTATTTCGCTATATATAGTACCTTGGAGATTACATTTTAACTATTGGAAAATTTTGATTGGCCGCCTATTGGCTAACGAAGACAGTCATATAAGACACGTGAGCTCATTGACAATCACTAAGATTTGTGCACGGGTTTATCGGTCCGAAGCTTTACCCACTATTTGTAAAGGTAATGTGTCAATTTTGGTTTTGTTTTTATTTTATATATGCATATTTAAGAGTAATGGCTTATTATAAATGTGGACATTGTATTAAATATTTGAAATTTAATTCAGCTATAGTATTTATTTGCGTAAAATATAATTTGAGTTTAGTAATGGCGATATAAATGTTATTTTTAAATACTATTGAAAATATTGAAATAATTCAGGAATGTAAACCCAGACCCTGAACCCTCTCGAATCCTAGTATTTTTGCTGGACTCAAACTCCGATCTGGATTTAAAGTGGAGGGTTCTTTTAAAAATAGTATTTTAGAAAAAAAAATTTCCTTCTTTAAATCCATAAAAAATCATTTTCAAAATTTTCTGCTTTTTATATTTATATTTTATAGGTAATTCTTTTTTTTTAACTTATATCAATTTTACAAAGTGAAATATTGTGATTTTTATAGTATAGGTAGACCTGTGCGCCGATGTCTCAATCAACGGCGGCGGTTTTTTAAAATTTTTTTATCGGCGTTCGGCGGCGCAATATTTATTTTAAAATTTTTTTAATGAATTTAATTTATAAATCAATATATTTTTTAATGAATAATCTCCTTATAAATATTTAAAAGGGCTAATCCATTTAAACGGTTTTTACCGGTGCTATTTCTTAAATAGGTTTTTAACCTTTTCAAAGTTTGAAAAAGACCTTTCATTGGTGCAGGTACTAATCGGTAAAGTAGCTAAAATAAAAAGTAATGTTTTGATATTTGGCAGGGAATTTAAAGTGCAATTACACATGGAAAGAGCCTGCAAAGCATTTTTAGGTCTCAAAGAGTACTCTATTCTGTCGAGATTTTTATACCAAAATTCGACATCACAAAGTAACTTATCATACGATCCTGATAAATCATCAGAATAAAACTCTGAGATTTTTTTAATATCCTCTCGCGTTTCATGTGTAATCAACAATTCAGACTTAACCGGCAGAAGAAAATAAAAACTTTTTAGAATAAAATTATGACTAATAAATCTTTCTTTTAATTGAAATAAAAATGTATCGATAAGGGGAATAAAAATATTTATTTTATAAAAATCCTCAATCGAAGATGCATCAATATTTAAGCGATTTGTCTGTCTATAAACTACTCTAGTTTTAAAAATTTCAATCCCAAACAAGCGATCTCCTTTACTTTCTTGTAAATATCATGAAATTTTTCATCCACATTTTCTCTGATATTTGTTAATATTTCAACAATATCCTTTGCCCTATTCATAACCTCTCTTAAATCCAAATTAATTTTTTGAAGTATTTTGCTAAAATCATAAGTATAATTAAATAAAAAATATACATATTGAATTGATATTAAAAATTGTGGCTTCGTAATCGCCTGTAAAAAATTTTCAGCATCTGAGGAATCCTTTTCTTTGCTGGATACGTAGGATTCGAGTGCTGCAAAAATAACTTCATATAATTCTATGAAGAGTCTCACTGATTGTTGTCTTTCGATAAACCTAGTTGGGCAAAATCGTTTTAGTTTTTTTTTTTGGATTATTTGAATCAATATCATCAAATGTTTGGATAAATAACTGCCTCTTTTTGGGTGGTGTGAAAAAGTCACAAACGACGATATTGTTTCTAAATTTTGAAAAATATATTAATTTATAAAAAGATATCTATAATACATAATAAAATCTAATAAATTCCAATTAAATTAAAAAAAATTTTACGTAAACTGTTCCGGATGTCTCGAATTTCACATGCCTCGGATATCATCAAATTTAGGCAATGTGAGCTGCATTGAACATATAAAGCGGTGCTATAAAGCTCTCTAATTCTTGACTGCACTCCCTTAACATGACCACTCATTGAGGAATCTCTATCATATCCCTGGCTCTCATTAGATTTAAATTTAAATCTAGATCTTGAAGGGATGCTAAAATTTCTTTGGCTATCGTCTCTGATTTAGTGTCATATAAATCAATAAATTGAACAAAGAGTTCCTTCATTTTATAATGACCTGATTCCATATCAAAACCTTATTGCTATGGATAATTGCTCTATGTTACCAACATCCGATGTCTCATCCGCCAGAACACTAAAAAATGGTGATGTTTTCACTTTTGTAGAAATTTCTTTCAATATAAACTTATTGCATATGGATATAATTTCATTTTGAATGCATGGACTAAGGTAGGTGGTATTTTTAGCCTAGCTTTCAAAAAGCTTTATATAATTATCATTATTGTTGCATAAAAGTTTCAGCAATTCCTTAAAATTCCCTTCATTATGAGAAGATGAAAGTGTTAAGGGGCCAGATGATACTCTATGAGATCTTAATGCTAAGCCCTGCCTCCCTAGCCAAATGATTGCATCAATTATTATAATTATTCTGGCTCTGTTGGTTGTAACAATATCAAATTTTTATTTATTTAATACATTAGATATTGATATCTTTTGATTCATAGAGATGGCTTTTAAAGCATCAGATATCTCTCAAAAATTGAGATGATATTTATTTTGTTGATGATAATTAAAATTTTCAAGAGCATCTTTCCATCTTGTATATACTTGACTTACCAATGTTTTGAGTTTTTGAAACCCGGGTCCAGCATATCTTGGTGAAAAAATGACGCACACTTACAAAAAGCTCCCTTTTCATTAGCTGAATAAGCAAGCCACTTATATTTGTTAAGCCACGATGTTTGACATTTCTTTTATCCAAAGACAATGGAAATTTATAGCATTTGTCAGGTGCCCAAATATTTTCCACAGCCAACAATTCGTCATTATCATTTTTAAACTGAAATTTTAAGTATAATGAAATATAGTTTTGAGGACATTGATTTTCTATATTTTTTTTTAAATTTTAAAATATATATTTCAATGTGAATTGTAGAGTTCAGACCTGAGCAGCACAACAAGAAAAGAATATAGTTTATTAAAATATATCTTAAATAAAGATTCAAGTTATCTATTACAAATTTAAAAGACAGGGTAAGACATAGAAGGAAATTATTTGTTTTTATCTAAGATACAAGTTTTCACAATACTGCCCAACTCTGCTTGTGAATGTTGTATTATCTAAAGATCATTTGGGAATTTATAATAATCAAAATGATGAGCTTTTCATATAAAAAAGGGTTATAACTAAATAAAGCACATTGCAAAATTTTAATAACTCAAATGAAAATATAATTTACAAATAAAAAAATAGAACTCAATTATATTATAAAATACCATACCATCATTTGATGATTTTCCAGCCAAATCAACTGAGAGCTCAGATTCTTTAATAATACATAATTTTCCTAATTATAAAAAATTAAGAGAACTTATAAATGATAATTTAGAATTATACCATTATCATTTGATGATTTTATTTTAGCTAACTCATTTGTTTTCCCTGAGTATGTTGGTTGTATTTCTAATTGCAAGATTTAAATAAAAGATATTATAAAAGTGAATACCATTACCATCGTCATTTGAGGATTTTGTTATTTCTAAATCAAATTACATAAATTTCCTAAATCAATTTAAATATACCTTTATTTAGTAAAAATTTTCTTATATCCATGTGGGAATTAAATAAAAATTTTAAAAACTATCTTAGTTTAACAATTTAAATTTTATTATTAAATTTAAAATATCTAATTAAACAATAAAAATATATTTACAATATATATTTAATTGTTATTTAATATTTTATTAGTTCATAAAAATATATTTCATTTTAATATCGTATATATTATTTATTTTATTTCTAAATTGAAACAGTTTTTTAAATAAAATATAAAAAAATTATAAAAAAAAATTTATTTTGAGGGGTGATGGGGGGTTTCAACCCCAAAACCTCCCCTTGTCTACGCCACTGACCGTAATGAACCATTATGAACCTTTATAATTAGCTGAACCGAACCGAACCTTTGTAAATTTTTTCTTAAGAACCGAATACGTAACCATTATAATTTTTTACATACTGAACCGTTATAAATAACGGTTCGGGTCCCTGCTAAAAAGAGCTTAATTTAATAATTAATATGTACCTTAAAAACAAGTATAATTGTGTTTAAAAATTTTTAGTTGAAGTTTTTGTTTATATAAATCGCGTTTTTCGTTTGTTATATTAAAAAAATTCGCGATAAAATTTTTTAAAAAAATATGTAGACCAAGAAAAATTGCCGTTAGTTGATATATATGACTATTGGCTGAAATATAGTTATTTAATTTTGAATATTTATTAATTTTTTTATTTTCCTTCCATGTGATGGTTTGAAATAATTGATGAAGGAAAGGAGGAATCTTATAAGATTGTTTAACTGACCTTAATTATTGTTTTTTTTGTAAAATTTTATCAAAATATTTTTATAATGATTACGACTAGTTAATCAATTAATAAGAAATTTGTAAAAAATAAATGTATTATAATAAATCAGTTGTGATAACGGCAATTTCTTTCAATATGACTTCTATTTTATCGTAATTTTGCACTTATATCTAATTTCTTTCTTATTTAAAAGGCAACATTATTTCAAAAATAGTAACAAATTGTGGTTACCTTGCAAAAAAACCAATACCTCAATTAAATTTAAAAAAATATATAATTATGAATTATTGGTTTGCACATGCGAAATATTTTTAATAAATTTAACTGATAAATAGCAATCACGCAGACGCGCATCCACGGTTTTTCCCTTGGAAGAAACTATTTTTATAGAAATCTTGCTTGCATTTATTCGTGAATAAATAATCTATTAAGTTTTATAAATTGGCGAAATAAAATATCCCACGAGTAAAATATTGATAAATATATAAAACATTTCATTCGTATCTTAATAATCAACTTTAAATATTAGTATGTAATTTCTTTGCCCCCTCATATGAATATCTTTTAACCCGCATTTTTAATTTTTTATAATAGCTTAGTAACGAATCTAGGAAAAAACCTCCGGAAAAATAACCCGAGGAAAAAAAGCCCCGGAAATAAAACGACCGGAATTTTTTTTCTTATATTTATAGAATTTTAAGACCTAATAATACATATAAATTTTTATTTTATTTTTTTCATATTTAAAGAATTTACTTAAGACCTAATATAGGTATATTTCTATTTGGATTATAATGGATATACTCATATTTATTAGGTGTAGACAAATTAATATTTTATAAAAAAAATATTATAATAATATAATTTATTAATAAGCTAAATTTTTTTAGGCCCTAATTCATTATTTAAAGATTACTCATGTCATATACCCATAAAAAAATGCTTAAAAGATAAAATATTGATATTCAAATTGGTACTGGGAAAAAAATAACCCATGTATTTCTTATTTTCGTAAATTATTTGCTATAGTAATAAATACAAAATCCATTAATTACGATATTAAGTAGGCTAAATTTGACAAAATTTTGTAATACGATATATTTATTTTATTGGGAAATCATGATTATATATATGCAAATTTAATGAAGAATAATTGTTATATATATTTTTTTATTATTTGGCAAGTCGTTTTTTTCAAATTTAATATTGTTATTTCGTCGAGTCATTTTTATCATAATTAATAGTTATTTTAATATATTTTTTGGATATTTATTTTTGGAGAAAATTATTAACAAATATATAATTATTTCGCAAATTAAAAAGATATAAAAGTCTAGAAAAAAGGTAAAAATTAATTCTTATTTTTTGTTTTCGCGGTTTATAAATTATTAAACGAATTATAAAACAAAGCTATAATAAATAATAAAAGGTCTAAAGAATTAAAGAGTACGCCTACGTATATTGTGTAAATTATAAAAGTGGTGGCCAAAACTTTGTACGGGATAATATTTTTTTTTTGAATAACGTTGAAAATTAATTAGTAGGTAAAGCGTTGGATTAACAGAATAACGTTGAAAACTAATTAGTAGGAAAAGCGTTGAATTTACGGAATAACGTTGAAAATTAATTAGTAGGAAAAGCGTTGAATTTCGGAATAACGTTGAAAATTAATTAGTAGGAAAAGCGTTGAATTTACGGAATAACGTTGAAAACTAATTAGTAGGAAAAGCGTTGAATTTACGGAATAACGTTAAAAACTAATTAGTAGGGAAAGCGTTGAAGGTTTGTGGAACTTTTTTTTTTATAAATAAGTACACCAAGTGACCAAATTACACGGCTGCCCGTTTTTGTCGAAATTTATTTTAAAAACAAGTCTTATCGTACGGTAGTGTTCTCCAAATTTTAGGCATATATAGACCTATTACACTGAAGTGCTGCCCAGATTTTTGGCATATATAAACCTGTTTACCCAAATATTTGTCATATTAACCTATTACACGGAATTGCTGCCCAACTTTTATCAGTTATAAATCTGTTATACGTAATTTGCCTAAATTATTTTTATATCTAGAATTATAAAGTGTGGATGTATATGTTTATCATTGAATTGTTTACGCTATTAATAATATCTTATCATTTGACATTATAACTAACCAAGATTTTTATTTTGGAATTAATCATTAATTTTTTATAAAACTGGGATGAAAAGCTTGAAATTTGTAAAATACTGGAGATACAGTATAATATTTTTGGAGCGTTGGTTATGCTATTAATATGTATGTGTAGTTTAATATGGGGAAAGTTTCTGGAGGAAATCGAGGCTCAATTTGACGTGTCTGGGATTGAGAACTGCTTCTTGTTACTTCCCTTGATACTCCATTGATATAATTTTTATCGAAATAATCAAGAATATCCTTATCATTGCTCGGAGTAACCGATCTCAGGAATGTCATCATTGCATTGCCCATATCACATAAAGGAACTAATGCTAAGCCGCTCATCATGACACAAAAGAAGCTTAGAGTTTCATCGGTTCTGTATTGGCTTTTCAGACCTAGCAATTTTTCTATAGGTGATATAAATGGTAAAAGTATCCTCTGATTTTTTAATTCTATGGAGTTTTTTTCCATGGTTTATTTTTGGGTTTTTTTCCTATTCCTCTTAGTAACAGTTTATTTTATAGCCATTTTTTTTTCACATATAAAAAGAAAAGGCTTATTTTTTCGATATAGGATATAATCCAGGATCTACCATATACCTCGCATTTCTCTTATTAAAGAAAGAATTAGGCATACAAAATCCAACAGCTTTTTTTACAGAAATCAAGAAATGGTATATGGATCTCAACTATAATTTAGAATTTCAAGTTTCTTTATTTTATTTTTTCAATATTTAAATAATTTGAAATATGGTCATGACAATCATGTCTCTATTTATTTAAAAAACAAAATTTCGATTAGTTAACATATTTTTATTTATATAGTTTAACCTTTAAATAGATTTTCATGATAAATTTGACAATAATTTTTTTAATATATTGATATATCATATTACTTATAATAATAGGAAATAAAAGACGGGACGCGATGCGAAAATAATATGATCATTTCAAACCTGTTTATAATTGTAAAAGAGCTTCCAACATATGTACATAATATTAAAGATAATACTATAATTAACGACGCTGATAAGACATGTCATATGTGTATAGATATTATTAAATTAAGAAGATTTATAGAAAAGCGTCATACTTATATAAATTTATACATCGATTTATTTAGTTTAATATAATTTATACCTTTCCGTTACAACTCCTAATACTCAAATGATGATTTTTTTCAAATAAAATATAAAAAATGACGGAAGTTTGACTTAAACTTCCTAAAAAACAAGCATAGTTATGTTTCAAAATAATAAATTTGTATTTTATCTTTTGGGGGAAAATGCTGATGTAATGTCTCTGATTTTGCCGCTTATTTTCTTTTTAAAAACTTAAACTTCCGTTTATATATCTAAGAAAAAAGATCTGGTATAAAAATAATTAGTAAATTTAGAATTTTCGCCTCGGTCGTGATCTTTATATCTGAGTTATCTATTTATTTAAAAACAAGTATTTATTTTATTTATAACCAATTCTTTTTTAAGGATAATTAAATTTTTAAGAAAAAAGAACCTATTTAATAGAGTTCTAAATCATTTTTCTTCATTTACATAAATTCATTTTTTTTAAAAAAAATAATAGAAATGATTAAATATAAAAATTTATTTGGTAATTTTTATGAAAAAACTAGTGGTGTTTTTTTGTTTTTTAGTTGTTTTTTTGTAAAAATAAAAGATTTCGGACATGTTTCATAATTAATTTGCGAAAATTTATAAATTTTGTTTCAAAACATTTTGGACAGAGTCTAAAATAAATTTCTTAAATAATTTGATAACGAATGAAAAAAAATATTTTGTATATACTTATTTGTTTATAGATAACGTGTGTTTTATTTTGAAAGAAGTTATGACAATGTAGATAACAAAAGAAGTTAATTAAAATGATACATAAGGCAGAATTAAATAAGAATTTTGGAATGATGCTGATATAGTGTGAGAAGAGTTTAAGTTTTAGGTTAAAAAAATACTATAATTGAAAAATAGTTAAAATTTAGTCGAATATGCAGTTAAATCAGATGTTGTAATTAAATTTATGCATAATTTTTATTTAGACTGCAGAAAAAAAGCCTCAAAGATCTGGTATAGGAGATTTGTAATATCAGGTTAGGGTTGGCATAAAATACACTCAAGTTGATAATATCAAAATATTAGGTTGTTGATAACCAAGATCTTCAGGAAGAGAGATGGCTTTCATCATTTAAAAGATCATGCCACAATTGAGTTCATTTAGATCCGGACTATGTTTGTAAATAGAGATAAGATTAAGATACAAAATTAAATAATTTTAAGATTTGGTTTTATTAAGATGAATATACAATTATTGTTAAAACAGATGTTGATATTGGAATTAATTCTTATTAAAGTTTTACTTTTATTTGATATGATATCTAGTAAAACATTAGGTTGAATTAACTTTAATCTTCCGGAAGAGAAACGGCTTTCATCATAAAAATTAGGCCGCAATTGAGTTCAATTAGAAATCAGAATTTTTATTTTAAATTAAGGTAATATGTTTTACAAGGACTGTAAGAATATGATATGAAAAAGTTTCAAAAAAAGATAATTGGAAGTTTAAAGAAAATGCTAAAGTATATTTAATAAAGAAATAGGTAATTAGACTAAGAAAGAAAAAAATAAGATGGTATAAAAGATAAAATTATAATTGTTGAAAAAATAGGGTTTAAAAGTGAGAAGAAGTTTTTGAAAAAAACATTTTTTAGAGGAGAAAAAAAATGGTTTTTGAAAACAAATCTATAGAAGAGAAAGAAGTTTTTGTAAAAACATTTTTTAGAGGTAAATTATAGTTTTGAAAACGAATATATAGAGGAGATGAATATGTTAGTTGATCGAGAAAAGTGATTTTTAAGTACAAATTTAAATTAAGAGTTATTAGGTAATAGAGAATTGTAGCGTATTACGTTAGTGTTGTTAATGACTCGTTTTGAGCCGATTTTTAAAAACGACTAACTCAATATTTTAGCCAGAAAAAATATTGCCTAAGCCTCGAGATTTGGCTACTAGATGCCCAAACCTCTGTTCCTTCTACATACAAAATCTTCAGGCTTGCGCAATAGTATTATGGATGAAATATTGAGTTAGCCGTTTTTAATTATCAACACTATATCACGTCAATACCGCCAAATTTTTTCCGCGAAATGCACGCGAATGTTTATTACCACGAAAAGATATTATAAGCGAATGCATCATAGCGAAAACAGTATCGCGAATACATTATCACGATAACATTATCGCGTATGCATTACAGCGAATGTATTATCGCAAATGCATCATAGCCAATGTATTAGAGCGAAGACATTACCGCGAATGCATCATATCGAATGTATTAGCGCGAATGCGTTAGAGCGAATGCATTACCGCTAAATTATTATCGCGAATGCATTGCAGCAAAATTATAATTGCGAGTGAATGTATTATCGCGAATGCATTATAAATGCGATAACATGAATGCAATATAGCTAGACATGTGCGCCACCGCCGGTGATTCTGACCACGCCGACGCCGCACGCCAAAAAAGTGTCGGCGCTCAACATGCCGCCGCCGATGTAAAAATTCGACGGCGTGGCCGCGTGATACATATTTTTCATTATTAATTTATTTTTATGTTATTTATGAATTGTAATTAGAAGAAAAATATTAATTATTTTTTGAATTATTAAAAAATGCGATTTTTAATAAATATTATTTGCTATAGATTTCCATATTCGCTCACTTTGGGCAGGTTTGTGACCAACTTGCTAGATAAAATAAGATTAGGACATTAAATTTGAAAAGGTAATTCTATATTTTATTCTTTTAATTTTTGATGCTTCAAATAATTTACAACTCGTTATATAAAATTTATTTTTTATCATAATAGGAATTTTAATTAATGATTTTTATTTTGTTGCCATTATAACATATATAAAAAAACCAGGACTAAAACAATTATAATGGATGCAGCATTGCAATACTTTGTAACAAAATATAGTATATCCTTGCAAGCAAAGCCTTCTTTTGCTTGGAAACATTTTGGATCCTTAATATTAAAAATTGACACAAATAATAAGAGTACCAATGTTACTACAGATAAAGTCTTTTGTAATATATGCTTGCAAATAGCACTTGATAAAGATGGTGAGGATGAAAATAATTATAGAGTAAATTTTTTGATATTTAAAAGTAATTATTTTAATTAGTTATCCAATCAAATCTTTTTCAAAAAATATCAGCACATCAAATATAATAAAACATTTACTTGACAAACATGATTTATCATGTAAAGAAGAAATACCTAAACAAAATTTAAAGTTATTTTTCAAACCCATAAGATACAACTGATCCTAAAATGGATTCTGGTAAAAATTATGTTCTCATGTGTTGCAAGGATTTAATGTCATTCTCTTCTATAAATAATATTGGAATGCAAGATTTTCTAAAGGTTATTTGTAAAATCATTATAATTTTTTATAGGGCAAGGGCAATCTTAATTTTTATTATAACTATTAATATATTTAATTATTTTATAACATCCCACATTTAGAATTTTTTACGACATAATATTTTTATTATTAACTTTTTATTATATGGAAATATAACATTATTTCAGATGCCAAAGAATTATCATATAGAATTACACTTATCCGGAGTGGATTAGATGATGTGTATTTATCAATGAAAGCATACATATGCCAACATAATATAGGTCCTAAATTTTGTGCTATAACTTTTGATATGTTGACCGACAAATATAGACGGCGAAATTATATCACCTTTACATTTCACGAAATAGATAATAATTTTAATATTGTATTTTATACATTGGCGACACATCATGTCACTCAAAAACATACCGCTGAAACTATTCTTTCCGAAATAGAAAAAGTTGAAAATGAATTTGATTTAGGGTCCAAGAAAATTCAAATGGTTACGGATGCAGGACCCAATATAAAGAAAAGTGTTCGTCTAGGAGAATATGACCATAATTTATGTTTGGGGAATGGATTACATAATCTAGTGACAGTCGATGGAATAAAAAAAAGTTAATAAAATAGAAAATCTCATTAAAAAGTGAAAGAAGTTATAGTTGCCTTAAGATTCAAAACAGTGGATTTTGAATAAATAAACGATATAGAAAATAGAAAATGTTTTGAATCGATATCATATATATCGGATATTTTAGATTTGGATGATAATGATTCTTTTTATGAAGATCGTTTGGGTTTTGTGATGATAGTGTAAATCAAAAATCATATGAGAAAAAACAAAAAACCTTAAAATTAAATGTGCCCGTTGGTATAGTTGGTGCATGAACTTTTAAATTTTCTTAAAACCTCCAAAAAAAACTGTTGAATTTTTATCTGTCCAAAAAGGAGTAACTATAAATTATCCTTATTATTTCGTAGTGAAATTAATATGATAGTCCTCCCATAGCCTTAAACAAAATATGCTTACTAAATTTGATCATAGATTTCCAATAACCGATCTTCAGGTACTATTTTAAAATACATAAATTATTTTTATATATTATTTCTCTTTCTTTTCTTAATTTACTTAGGTGTTAGGAGCACTTTTGGATCCTTGTTTTCAATCAATAAACATAGTAAATGAATATTTAAAGGAAAAAATATTACTCCGGTTGAATTTTTATGTCAAAACGCTACCTCTCTACGGCCTTACACGGACGAATTAAACGAATATGAAACGACGGAAGTTGCTTCAAAACTCGATTATCTTAAGTCATTGGCTACGAAACATTCATTTATTCAAAACAATAACCTGGAACAACAACACTATTTAACTAGTTTAGAAAAAGAGTGTTATTCATTATTTTCGCCTTATAATTTGGAGATAAAAGATGACTTCGATTTTTGGAAGATAAGAGCATTGGATCTTCCTAAACTCAATATTAGGTAGAAAGGTGCTGTGCATTCCAGCTACGAGCACACCCAGCGAGCGTGTATTTGCTGGGCTCACTCTGAACTCTAAAAGATCATTATTATATCCTTTAAATCTTAATAAAATAATATTTATTCATGATATTTATAACTTAATAAAATCATTAAATTATAGTTATAAACATAATAAAGTATAAATTTTATTTTAAAAGGGTTTCCAATGAATTTATAAATATAATTAAAAAAATTTAATAGAAAAATATTAGGCGCAGCCGCCGATTTTTGTGGCGGCGTCTAAATT